TATTAGTTGTAATATTGCTATTCGAGCTACCCAATTGGCTCAATTGCGTAACGTTTGTGCGAATATCAACCACCCTTATGTGGTCATAGGCGATTTCAATGCTACTCTTCATGAGAGTGAAAAAGATGGGGGACCGGCGTGGAATGCTGCCCAAGCCTTTAGTCTTCGTGAATTTGTTCATGATTTGGGTCTCCATGACCCTGGTTACCAAGGAGATCAATTTACTTGGACAAATAAACGCATGGGCGATGCATGCATTCGTGCACGTCTGGATAGAGCGCTTTGCTCTCAATCCTGGATTGATACATACTCGGAGACACTAGTCAAACACTTCACGGACTAGGGATCAGACCATTGTGCCCTTCTTCTTGCTGATAAACCATATGTCCGTACTCGTCGGGCCCTTTTCCGTTTTGATGCCCGTTGGGCGGATAATCCGGAGGTAAGGGCCATGGTCAACTATGTCTGGCAAAAGCAGATCCAAAGAACCCCTATGTTTCGACTGTGGGAGCGCCGAAAGAAACTCCGTCATCTGCTCTATGATTGGAGCAGGGCGGGCACAACTAATTCCCTGTGCAATATCAAGACGCTCTAAGCCGAGATTGATAGGATAAAGTTGATCCATCCGGTGGATTGGGATGAGATCAGGACCCTGGAAATAGAGCTCTCTCGCCAGTGGGAAGCGGAGAAGGTATTCTGGCAGCAAAAATCTAGGGTTAAATGGTTAAAAAAGTAGATAAAAATTCTGCCTACTTCCATACGGTCACAAGGCCTCGACGGAAGAGGAATTTCGTTTCCGGGCTTCGAAATAAGGAGGGTGAATGGGTCACTGAGGAAACCGGGAACGCTACTATTGCCACCAACTTTTACCAGACCTTGTTTACTTTGGAAACTCAGGTTCCTAATATGGCTGAGAGGGTGGCGAATCTGCTGATTGACCATAGTGTTACTCCGCAAATGAACGAGCAATTGACGGCGGAGGTTTTGCCTAGTGAGGTTCGGAGTACGGTCTTTTCCATGGGATCGAAACAGGGCCCCAGATCGGATGGCTTCACAGGGAAGTTCTTTAAAGCTTTCTGGGATATTCTGGGCACTTCAGTGGTTGAAGCAGTAATTTCCTTCTTTACCTCGAGTCGGATGATGCGGAGTTTTAACCATACCTGGATCACTTTCATTCCTAAAGTGGACTCGGTGGAAACAATTAGACAATTACGTCCGATTAGCCTCTGCCAGTTTGTTTACAAAGTGATTACCAAAATCATGGATGAACAACTGGTTAGCATGCTCCCTCAGATCGTCTCGGATGGCCAAAATGGCTTTATTAGAGACTGGCAGATTATTGATAACATCCCTATAGGACATGAACTAATGCATTATCTGAAAATAAAAAAGCAAGGGAAGAAGGGGTACATGGCTCTGAAGGTTGACATGGAAAATGCCTATGATAGAGTCGAATGGCCCTTCCTTCTTGCAGTTTTGGATAAGATGGTTTTAATTCAGTCTGGCAAGGATGGATACATGAATGTCTTCGATCCTCCTCTTTCTCGGTTCTGATGAATGGTACACCCTCTGGTTATTTCACTGCCTCTAGGGGCCTTCGCCAGGGGGATCTGCTCTCTCCTCTCTTGTTTGTACTCTGCACAGAGGGGTTTGCATCCCTCCTCCGAAAGGCGATCACGGAGAAAAAATTAGAGGTGGTGAAAGTAGCTCCTCGTGCTCCAAGAGTCTCGCACCTGTTCTTCGCAGATGATTCTTACTTATTCTTGTGAGGTTCTCTTCAGGAGTGCGAGAATTTAATTGAGGTGCTGAATGAATATGAGGAACTGAGTGGCCAACGCGTTAACTTGGAGAAATCGGCGGTGTGCTTTAGCAAGAATATTTCCACGCCAGATCAGGAGTACTTGGCCACGATCCTAGGGGTTGGTGCAGTGGAGGTCCACGATAAATATCTGGGGCTTCCAACACTGGTTGCTCGATCCAAAATGGCTACGTTCAGATATTTGGAGGAAAAACTCCTAGAGCGACTTCAGGGGTAGAAGCAAAGGACATTGTCGTGGGCTGCGAAGGAAACTTTGATTAAATCCATAGCATTGGCTCTTCCCCTTCATGTTATGTCTTGTTTCCGTCTTCCCCTAGCTCTTTGTCGTCTTTTAGATAGAATGTGGCCCGCTTTTGGTGGGGTGCTGAGGAGGGTAATCCCAAGATTAGATGGGCGTCCTGGCGAAACATGTGTAGGAGTAAGAATGATGGGGGGATGGGATTTCGCCAGTTCGAACATTTCAACCAAGCTCTTTTGGCTAAGATAGGCTGGCGTATTCTCAATGAACGTCAGTCACTTATTGCCCAGGTTTATATAGGCAAGTATTTCCCTCAAGGGTCTTTCCTGACCGTGACTGCTAGGTCTCGTCCCTCTTGGGGGTGGCAGAGTATCCTTCATGGGCGTCAGTTATTGGAGATGGGTTTGAGATGGCAGGTCGGTAATGGCCAATCGGTCTCCCTCCTTCATTCTAACTGGATTCTTAGGTACCAACTAGATCCCACATGCTATAATCCGCGGATCTTGCCTGAGGGGGGGCGATCCCTTGGTGGCGGAGGTTATTTGTGAGGGGGGAGGGAGGTGGTCTGATGAGAAGCTCAGTCAATGGTTTACCCGCCCACCTGTAGGGCTATTAAAGCTATTCCTCTCCCGCGTTGGGATGTGCCTGATAAGCTTATCTGGCATTTTACGGCCAACAGGGTTTTCTCGGTAAAGTCGACTTACCATTTGGATGTTGATTTGGACAGGAGGAGGGGTGGGTGGGTGAAGATCCCTCCGAAGTTGAAGGTTTTTGTTTGGCAAATTTTTAATCGGGCTCTTCCGACTATGGAGGCGCTTATTGAGAAAAAGGTCAAGGTGTTACCTCGGTGTCCAGTTTGTTGGGATGGCCCGGAGACGATGTAACACCTGTTCCTTTATTGTCCGGTTGCGCGGGCTCTCTAGGATTATTCTGAGCTGGAATACTTGGGGGAGGGTTTGCCTCGGCATACTTTTCCTTTGTTTCTCAAACGTTTGTTGGTGTTGATTCATCAACCGTCAGTGGTTATGGCTGTTGTTGCCATCCTTTGGAGGATCTGGCGATCTCGAAATTGGGTAGTCTTTGAAGGCAAACAATTTGGGTTCCCGGCGCTCATGCGACAATTTAACCAACAATATGAGGAATGGGTGGGTCTACCAGCGGACCAGACGCCTAGGGTGCAAATCCCGATGATGCAACCTACAACACAAGTGGGTGATTCCCATTTGGTTTGCATGTGGGACGGGGCTACTAAGGGTGGGTCGCATTCGGCTGGTGCGATGGTTCTTTTTGACCCAGCGCCGACACTCCTTCTGGCTAGAGTGGTTCAGTTTTCTCAAATGGATGATCCTATAGTGGTGGAGTTGCTTGTGCTCAGGGAAGCTATTATTTGGTGTGTGGAGCAAGGCTTGTCGGAGGTCCGGTTTGAGAGCGATGCGAAGGTGATTATTGACAAAATTAATCAAGCCGACACAAGAGATAGTCGGTTGGGTGATGTTCTGGAAGAGATTGGTCATCATTTTCGTACTCAGCCTGGCTTTAGTGTGCGTTTTGTAGGTCGGGAGAACAATAGGGTAGCTCATTTGGTAGCTAGGAAAGCCCTCTCTTTGTATCCGACTATGAGTCGCTTCTTTGATTTCCAGACCTGACTGGTTTTCAGGGTGTAACTGTCTATTTTTCGATCAATACATGATATCTTTTGACAAAAAAAGTCCTATATATCTTATAAATAGAGGATAACATTAAAATCACGACCCAAAAATCATTAGTTCAAATATTCCATATCAAATTGCAGTCTTGAATATGTAAAAGTGATGTATATTTCTTAAATTAGTATTAATTTTTAGACCTACTATTACACAATCGTATTCATAACTTTGTGTAAACTATATGAGACTGGTTCTTTGAACATTTTAGTTCGGCTAACCGTCAAATTTCAAACCTTTTCCTATTCTGACATGATTGGATCCAACAATCATTAAGAGTTTAATAAGTTGGTTCATTTCACCTTTTTTTAATGTGCTAATGAATTTGTAGTGAAAAGACATGTATTTATATACACTCTACACAATATATAATACTAAAATGAGAAAATTGTTGTCTCATTTCGAATTTTCTACAACGAAAATGAAAGTAGGAATTATATTTTTGCTTCATAATTATTTTACAGAAACTACAAACTTTCAAAATCCAAAAATTGTTGCTCAAACTAAAAATCAGAGCATCGAAAATCAATGTTCGCAAATTTTATTTCATATATCACTTATTTGAGAGATTTTTCTCTTTATAAACAAAGTAAAATGAAACAAGTTATAGCCAAATCAACAGCTTTGGCTCGAAGACGATGACGTGCTTCTTCGCGAGAGAAAGAAATACATGCGGTACTGTCAGAGATCTGGAGAGCAAAGATGAAAAGGATACACTATGAGTTCGTGGATGAGTACTATGAAATAGATCATCAAATCACAGGCTTGGGGCTGAATAAAATGATAGAAGCTTAGTTAGATAGCCGATGATATAGAATTTGCCAATTTGGTACATCTACAGGAGATCTCCAGAGTTGGCTTAGAAAACAACGAATTGAAGGGAAATAAAAAGATATACTCTTTTATTAACAACTAATTGAGTGCATGAGGGTGGATAAACGATGCATTCATTTCTCTTTTTATTTTTTAAAAAATAAAACAAAATAGTATCGTTAATTTTTTTGGGTTTCTATTCACCTTTTGAAGTTTGTTCTTTTTTCGGGTCTAATCAGATTATTTAAAGCTATTATTCTACTAAATGATTTTTTTTCCACTGCATTGATGTAATATTTTGACCAAAACATGTTAGTAAGTTAAATGATATATTAATTAAAATAATATAATATTCACGCTCTTTCGGCGAACTCAAATTATAATTCTTGAAGAGTATACACTCTTACGCTCCCATTCTAGCTCCTGCTCTAGCTCCCACTCCGCGAATTGGTAAGATAAATCCGTCAAGTCAATTTTGTTAACAAAGAGACTACTGGAAGAACTCGCCTTCCATCACATATTGTCTTCCCTCACAAACACCCCCATGCTCAATTTCCACTTGGTCGTTACTCATTAATTCAACTGTCGACACACTTCGCCACCATAAGAGTGCGAGCTTCATCGCGTGACGAATACATGTTGTTGGAGTGCATTTTAGGAGCTCGAAGGAGGATAGCATAAAATAGCTGATAGAGAAACAAATGTAGATAGTCCGGTCGAGGAAGAATATTATTCATATGTAGATGAGATTTTATATAATTTATAAATATATGAACAACATAATAATTTTTTCATATATCCGGGCAAAAGCGGACTAAAACAATTAGACCATTAATCCTCAACCCACTTAATCGACTGGGCCAACAGGCTAAACCAGGTTGACAACCTTTGATACTTGAAATTCATATATTCTAAAAATTTTGGGTTCCAATTTTTATGATTGAGTCAAATCGATCAATAATTGTGGACTTTTCAGAGAGTGGTTGAAATTCAAAAGTCAGTCTTCAAGGTTCTTTCGTGACGGACAAGTTTTTTAGTTTAATTATTGTTAGGTCGAAGGAAGAGAAAGCGGGACAGATGGAGGATGAGATTGTGGCTATTAATTATTGGGAGTTGCAGATGGAGAAGATAAGCCATAAAAGGGATTAAATTTAATTTGATAATACATATATACTATACATTACAAGGGCATGTGTGATGTGAAAAATAAAAGGGATAGATTTGAGGAAAATGGATAATAGAGTGACAATTTATGCTATTAACTCCACATGAAAAGTCAAAGATTGTATCGATAGAGTAGAATTTATGGTTTTATAATGTTAATTTTCGTAACTTTTGTACATGCATTAATATCTAACACTTAACAGCCTCGACTTATTATTCAATCAAGCCTATACACTATATTCTAATAATTTATACAATAAGCATTTGTTTTCGTGTTCTTCCATAATTGAGATTTCTAGGCATAATATTTTCGTTATTCTCTTGATTTTTTTATATACCATCAATTCCTACCATTCTAGATGACATATATTTTCTTTCAACTCCAACTTCATATCCGATAATAAAAAGTCCACAAATTTCTTCTAAAATATGAAAAAAATACACAACAGTAAACTAGGAGGACTTAAAAAAGTACATATTAACTCATTATCGATAATGTCATAATCAACAAATACCATAAAGATTATTATGAAATAATGAATTAACTAACCTCAACTTATTTAAAAACATGAAAAGATTTATCAAAATAAAATAAAATTATCCGACCAACGAATCAAATTAATATTTTAAATATAATTATAAATTAACCAATGTTACAAATATATTAACCTTATTTAAGTTGAGTCGAAATTCGAAAATGGAAGGAAAGGACGCGCGGTTTGGAGGCCCAGCCAGAAGCACAAACGTTACGAAAAAGAAAAGAGGTCCAAACACGTATCGTCAACAGTGTAGGATATTCAGCGTTGCCTTCCTTCCTCTGCTGCTTCTTTACCATTCTTTCCCATCTTCTGCAATGCAACAAAATCCCAAATCCAGAATTCCCAGAGACTTCATCTCGCGTCGGTGTCTCTCTATCTCATTTCCTCCTCCTCTCTATTTCTTCATCAGTTTAACTTTAACCAAATCATCTCCTCTTAATATCCCTGAATCGGCCAGTAATCCCTTGAACCGCCATGGATCTAGCGCCGGAGGAGCTCCAATTCCTCTCAATACCTGACATTGTAGGGGAATCGATCTCAATCCCTAAGCAATCTCCCAAAACCTTCTACCTCACAACCCTAACCCTAATCTTCCCGCTCTCCTTCGCCATCCTCGCGCATACCCTCTTCACCCACCCAATTATCTCCCGCCTCGAGAACCAACCCACCGACGATCCGGCCACCATCAGCCACGAGTGGACCGTCCTCCTCGTCATCCTGTTCTGCTACCTGATCTTCCTCTTCGCCTTCTCCCTCCTCTCCACCGCCGCCGTCGTCTTCACCGTCGCCTCCCTCTACACCTCCAAGCCGGTCTCCTTCTCCTCCACCATCTCCGCCATCCCCAAGGTCCTCAAGCGCCTCTTCATCACCTTCGTCTTCGTCGTCCTCCTCATGCTCGCCTACAACGTCGTCTTCCTATTCGTCCTCGTCGTCTTCCTCGTCAACATCGACACCGAGAACCCTCTCCTCGTCCTCGTGTCCCTCCTCGTCATCTGCGTCCTCTTCCTCCTAATCCATGTCTACATTACCGCCCTCTTTCACATGGCCAGCGTCGTCTCCGTTCTGGAGCCCGTTTACGGCTTCTCCGCCTTGAAGAAGAGCTACGAGCTTCTCAAGGGAAAGGCTGGAGCTGCCGGGGTGCTTGTGTTTGTGTATTTGACCATCTGTGGAGTGATTGGGGGCTTTTTTGGCTCCGTGGTGGTTCGTGGCGGAGACAGATACGGGATGTTTGTGAGGGTCGCGGTGGGTGGGTTCCTCGTCGGGGTGCTGGTGATTGTGAATTTGGTGGGTTTGCTGGTCCAGAGTGTCTTCTACTATGTCTGCAAGAGCTTCCATCACGAGGAGATCGACAAGTTGGCCTTGCATGATCAGCTCGGCGGGTATCTTGGTGAGTACGTGCCTCTGAGGAGCACCATTCAGCTGGAGACCTTGAATGGTTGATGCCGGCGGGGGGCCTTGACAAACAGGTAGACAACAAAAACGTACTGTCATCTCTGTTTCAAGGCTCTTATGTATGTAATTGGTGTATAGAATACGTTGGAGGTTTTTGCTTTCTTTCTCAACATGAAAAGGGGGGAAATAGTACATCGTGCAATAAGAACTTGGGTTTAAGTAAATGTTGTATCTTTGATGTGCCCACCATTGCCAAGGAAGCATTGGTTGTGGTGGTTGTTGTTGTTTGATGCTTAATGAACAGCACTAGTATTTACGTTATGAGTTGCAAGTAGATGCCCTATTGTTCTTGATGGCAGTCCCTGCATATTTTCTTGCAATTAGATCCAAGGAATAGCTTTTGCTTCTTTTGGCTAGCTTGCCAGATTGTTGTTCCATCTCGAGTTCTCGTGTGGACAAATTCTTCAACCTTTACTGGTCTCACAAACTCCAGAGGGATTTGATAGTTTCGATCTTAACCTATCAGTAGGGCTGCCAAACGGGTTTGCGGTTACCGGTTTAACCGGTTACTGTACCGGTAGCCGCGATAATTGGTTAAACCGGTAACCAAAAAAACGGTAACCGGATGTGAATTCTTGGCTTGCGGTATGCCGGGACCGGCCTTGCAATTTACCGTCGGCTGATCGGTATTCCGACACCGAATGGGAAAGTGATTTTCAACAGCGGATCGTCAGAAATCAGAATAACGAAACGTCGGCCACCCACCCTAAAAAAGCCCCAAGTCCCTAACGATCTAAGCCAGCCTATTTGCTATTTGCATCCCCTGACGCCCTGACTGCTGCACGACCACGAGTCCACGACCACCGATCCCTCCTCCTCCGTTCATCGTCGTTGGCTCTTGGCTCGTTGCTCTGTTTCCGTCGAAGCCAGCCGTCGAACCCTGTCGTCTCCGTCGCTAGCGACGGGAACATGACTCTGCAGACAGCAGCCCTAATCCAGGCTCTGTTTCCGGCAAGTTCCTCCCATTGCCGCTCCGCTGTCCGTTGAACTCCGTGAGACCGTCGCCGTCCCTTCTCCGGCTCTCCGTCAATTGTAGAGGTAACCTTCTCTGGCTCAGCGTCCTTCTCCGCTGTCATAGACACGTGGGTGTGGCTGTACTGCCTGTACTTCACTCTGTAATTGTTGCTTAATGACGATTGTAAAACAGCTGGTGAGTTGTCTCGTCCAGCAAACCAATTATTTTCCGTTTCCATTACTCATTTTAATGGCGGAAACCTAATCTTGACGAAGCTTATGGTGTGTAACTCACCTTTGCTCTCTAGATTCAACCTTATTTGTTACTCGAATAATTTGAATAATTACTTAATTATCATGATAGCGGTTGATTTGATGGTCAACAGTGATGAAAGAATTGTGTTGTATAATACTATAATTGTCATTACTCAATTGTCATTGAAAGATTGATGAAGCAAAGCAAGTAATTTAGTTCAATTGTTTGATTATTAACTAATAATTACTAATTAGTTCGCTTTAGTTTTCATTTTTGCAGGTTTACATAGAGGCAGAGCCGAGCATAACCCCTGAGCCCAGCATAAGAACTTTTGTTATTTTGTACTAATTTATTTACTTGAGAAACCAAGTACAAAAATGTAAGATTTAAGATAGTTGTTTAATGGTTTAATGTTTATGCCTTTTTGACATGTTGGCAATTTTATGATTTTTAATTTTTACATTTTTTCTTTTTGTTGTAGGACGAAATCTTCTCGTCCTCGTAAAGGAGATGCTCTGAAAAAAAGTGGTTTCATTCCTCCTCGAACCACTTCCAAAAAAGTGGGTGCTCGTGTTGGAGCTGCAGAAGGGATTCAAGGGAATGTCTCATCTAATACACCTACACCTACTAGTGTCATTACATCTCCACCTGCTACTGCACCTCTTGCAGCTGCCACGCCTACACAGGTGACTGATATGGGAAGGGGAGCAGATGAAGTGGGTGAGGCAAAGAAAATTGTGAAGGTGACAAAAAGGAAGAAGAAGTCCTCGTGGTGGACTCCTTATGATGAGGTTCTGGTGGATGACTACCCATATGGCAAATGCAAACAATGTGGAACGTTTATCAAAGCTCACTCGACCAATAACAGGACTTCTGGTTTGAAGCAACATCACTTGGCATGTGAGAGGAAGAGGAAGGAAGTCAGTGGTCAATCACTATTGAACTATCAACCTGGGGATGGTGAGGTAGGCTCTCTTACTCCATGGAAGTTTGATCAACAAAGAGCTAGAACTGCATTAGCTGTTATGATCATCTTGGATGAGCTGCCATTTCGCTTTGTTGAGCATGAAGGGTTTAAGATATTTATGGCGGTAACCCAACCATTGTTTGTGATACCTGGAAGACAGACAATAAGGCAGGATTGCTATATAATCTTTTTGGAGAAAAAAGAGTTGTTATCTGAGTTCTTCAAATCCAAGTGCAAAGGAAGAATTTCTATCACCACAGATACATGGACTTCTGATAACAACCAGAATTTCATGTGTGTGACTGCTCATTTCATTGGGAGTGACTGGAAGCTGCAGAAGATGATCATTAGCTTTGTTCTCATCACTAGTCACACAGGGAAAGACATTGCAGAAAATTTGGCAGAATGTCTACAAGATTGGAAAGCACAACAGTTGTTCTCCATTACCATGGATAATGCTTCTTCAAATAATGTTCTTGCAGAGTGTATGAGAACAAAGATGAAAGAGTGGGGAACAGATTTGATTGGTGTGAAGTATTTGCAATTTCGATATGTGGCGCATATAATCAATTTGGTTGTGTCGGATGGGTTGAAGGAGGTTGGAGTTGTTGTAGAAAGGGTTCGAGATTGTGTTAAATGGGTGAAGTCATCACCAGGTAGAAGTGCAAAGTTCAAATCTGCCATTGATTATCTATCAATGGATCGAAGAAGACTTCTATCTTTGGATGTTCCAACTAGGTGGAACTCAACTTATTTGATGTTGGAATCTGCAGAAAGGTTTGAGATTGTCTTTAACTTCTTGCATGCAAGCCCCAATGATTCTGCATTTCGGGATTATGTGGACTCAAAGAGAGGTCTTCCAACTAAGGAAGATTGGAGCGGTATTCGACGTCTAATGAAGTATTTGAAGTTCTTTTTATGAGCTCACCTTTCGGGTATCAGGTAAGTGAACAAACATAACTCTTTTGTGATTCAACTTGTAATTCAACTAATTTGTGAATAATTTGTTGTTATTTTTTTATGTATCAGGAACATCTTACGTGACTGTTCATACTTTCTTCAAGGCTATTGCTGACATCTATGAAGTGATAGAACTTTTTAAGAAAGACATGGATGTAGAGATACAACAGATGGCAGCAAGAATGGAGGCAAAGGTACGAAAGTATTGGTTTGAGAATGATGGTGATGATGATGACGAGGTGGAGAACCTAATGATAAATAGGCTGGTTTACATGGCTTGTGTGCTAGATCCTAGGCGTAAAATGACTTATTTGTATTGGATGTGGGGTAAGATGTATGGGAAGAAGAAAAGAGACGATTTGGTGAAAGATGTGCCTGCAGAGATGACTGCAATGTTTGAAGTTTACAGATTGGAGTATGCACCTCAACCCTCTGAGCCTACTGTTACCGCTCCTAGTGCTGATGATGGTACTGGATCTGCATCTTATGGAGGGACATTTGATGCTGAATTCTTCAAGATGAGAAAGGAGCAACTACAGAGGGGGATTCGAGGTTCTTCTAAGCTAGACATCTACTTAAGAGATGTTGATGATGCTATTAACGAGGATGATAATGATATGAAGTTTGACATCGTGTTGTGGTGGAGTAAGAACAGCGTTAGATATCCTATTCTTTCCCAGATGGTTAAGGATATCCTAGCTGTTCCAGTCTCCTCTGTTGCCTCAGAGGCTGCTTTCATTTGTGGAGGTCGAGTGCTCAGCCCGTTTAGGTCTTCGTTGAGCCCCACCATTGTAGAGGCCTTGATTTGTGCTGAAGATTGGATAAGGTATGAAGGAGGAAAGAAAGCAGACAAAGTTGATGATACATAAGATGAAAATCAAGACCAAATCGATTATGAAAGTGGTAAGAATTCTTAATTTCATTTATTTTTAAGTTTTCCATTACTCAGTTTCTGATTACATATTATTAGATGAAATGTAACAATTTGTATTTTTGTTTACACTTAGTCACTACTAACTTCCAAACTCGAATGGAGAGTGCTACTGCCAAGCCAAGTGAAGGTGTCAAACAAAGTTTACCTGTTGTGGTGGAGGAGGAAAAGGAGGAAGATTCAGACGAGGATGAGGAGGACCAGGACGAGGAGGATAATGGTGATGATAACCTTCACACCACTTTGAAGCAGCAAGGTTTTGTTGATGTTGGTAGTACAGGTCCTAGTGGCAAGTGAGGAACTAGTAATTCTATTTTTTATCTTCATGTCTTCGAATTTAATTTAAACATTTAGAAGCAGCAGACCAGATTGCTCTATTTGCTCTATTTGGAATTCTACGTACAACTATAATGCTATATTTGATCTTATTTTTTAGTATTTTAATTTTTCAATGTGATGTTTGGAATTTACTTGTTAGATTTTGTTTTTTTGTTTTTTTAATTAATTAGCCGACCATTGTGGCTTTGTGCCCCAAATTTACAATACTATTGACTAGGGGTGGAAATTGGGTTGGGTGTGGTTACCCGCCCCACAATTTTCGGGTACCAACACCCACAAATTTACAATTATGCTATCCACAACCCGTACCGCAGTTGTTAGTGGGTAACCACTACCCACTGTGGGTTTGTGCGGGTTAGGTGTGGTTACCCGCAAAAATCCATATTTGCAAGCATAGAGTTCTAGTCGCCACTAACGTATTTGTTGTTCGTAACTAGATTATAGTGATATACACTTGTGTTGTTCGTGGAGATACAATGTTGTACATCGATCTTACTCAACGTGGAGATTTTTTCTTTTTGAGTTTGGTATTCAACTTTTCTGCTAGAGAGCTGTGATTTCATATTACTAGATAAAATATTACTTAAAAGGTGTTCTTGCATGCTGAACGAAAGGAATTTTGTCAGCTCTGCATTGATGTCTGATGAGCAGAATTGACGATCAATCTCTATCTCTGCCTCATCCCCTCTGAGACCCGACAGATCGATGGTCAAAAAATGGATCAGGTCAGTCTTGCTTTTTTGTTTTGCTTGATCTATTTCATTCTTTCGCGAGGCTTTAAATATGGAATTTGGTTAGGGTTTTTACTTAGATTTTTTGCTTCGAGTTGTTGCAGTATACAGCTGCCTATCCATTTGATATGCTTTTGTTGTCGGGGAGGATAGAAAGAACCTACTTAAACTGTTAAGCAGCAGGCATGACACGGGAGAAGGAGCCAACATCGACCTGGTTGGTGCCCATTTTGATTCATGGTGTCCATTCCAACTTTCTTTGGTTATGCAATAATGTGGGGTAGGAAGTTACGTTCTGCTTATAATGGCCGCCAACAGTATAGGTTATTTGCTTTGTATTTTGTTTACCTTGGGATTTATGGTTCGTCCATCTGCTTTGTTATTTCTGTTTGTAGCCGGCCAGTTCAATGTCTCATCAAGGGTGCTGGGAACCATGGATTTGGAAGTAGAGCGTTGGATAACTCACTAATGTGTGAATTTATTCGTTCTGGTTTCGACTTGGATCAATACAGCGGGGTAGAAGCGATTAGAGTGGAAGTTTCATACACCATGGCGATGGAACTCGCAGGTTTTATTGCATTCCAGCTGGATAATGGAAGTAATTGGGAGTCCTGAACTGTCTCATGCAGGTATCTGATTATGATTACCTTTTCTTCCTTTCCTGTTTCAATTTATGTAATCATAATAGATTTGACATGTGTTGCTTCTACTTTCACCTTAATGGGTTGACATGGATGGAGGTTAGAACAAGTGCCTTCTGCTAAAATCATGCTTCCAATTGCTGCATTCATCTTTCTATCTACCATTGTTCTTTGCTATATTCAAAATAGAGGTCTCTTAACAGTCGGTGATTTATAAGTTGTATCCCTAAGTTCTATATATGTCAATCAATACTCAGTGCATTCAAAGTGAACGAATATAACATACTGAAATCTTTGGGATTTTCATTTTCTAAACTATTCTTTGTTGTTTGCAGGAGTAGAAAGAAGATGATGAACTCTCACCAGCAAGTGGGGACTATGTATTTTTGTACCTGTTGATGTTGCTAATAAGAAGATAATTTCCCAGCTCATCCTCAGTTTGTTATTGTGCATCCAGGTGAGTATAAGCTTTTTGTACAAAACTTTATATAATGCCAACTATGCTTCTTGAAGACTGAGCTGATGGTTGATGTTTAAGAAGGCTGCTACTGTTATTTGCTTTGTGATATACATGCAACAAGTTACAGCAGTGAGCTATGTATTTGTAATTTGCTAACTAAAATTGGTTGATGGCGACACTTTCCATTATGAAGTGGGTGTGTTCCATCATTATTATTAAGGGGCTTTTGTCCTTGGGAGCCAGATGCCATTTATGGATCTTCACAACGCCTTCTTGCTTGCTCTATGATTAGAGTTAGTTTTCACCCAATGCTGCTTTTAGTCAAAATTCATTATCTGGAAATGCATTAGGTAATTACATCAAATGAAACCTTCAGATTTATGAGCCATGTTGGAACTATGCGTTTCTTGGCCACTATCTGGTCAAAATAATCTATAAACTGCCATTTCTATTGCTTTTCCCACTATCATTGTTAAATTCAATAATTTATCTTTGTTTTGGTTTTGCTCAATTTGTAATCCAGCTAAGTTGTTATGCTTGAAATGAAATTGAATTCCTAAATTTGGTACTTTTATGGTTTGGGTTAAAAGAAACCAATACCATTACTCTCTAAGTTGCCTCCATCTCACCCTTCCGTTTAAATTGTTTGGGTTCTGCAGCTCTTTGCTTGACCTTTAGGTCTTTGTGGACTTGATTACAATTGAAACAAGTAGAGGAGGGTGCTTTATGCTTTTGTTCTGCGTCATCTCTATGGTCACTTGCAGGATGCAACCAGCCATATAGAGCGGTGGATGTGAAATGAAGTATCCGGTTGTCACAGCAACTCTGGCTTTATTGTTTTGTTCCTATTTATATCGCAATGTAATCACATTTACAACTTTCCATTTGCTTTGCTGGCATGCTTTGTTCCTCAATTGACGTTGGTTCATGCAAATAGGCCAACACTTTTTTTGCTATTATAATCGTCTTAAGAAAAGATTGGATTTTGTCGGTTCAGAAGACAATTATCATGATTCTAATCCATTTTGTTACTAGATAGAAGAATGATTCACATGGTTTTTGATAGAATGTTGCATGTCATGAGTGGAAATGATAAATGATACTCTATTGATTCTCCTGTTCGTGTGGCCTTGTTTATTCTGGGACTAATATATGTGGATTCGATTGTGATTTATTTTCTATCCTTTACTAGCTTATAAATCATGTGAATCGTGATGAGTGGGAAAGTTGTTTCGGGGATCATGGCTGGTGGTGGGAAAAGCCTTTGTTTGTCATCTTTAACGAGTTCATGGTTGGTAAGACTTTCCATGAGAAATGAATTATTTATCTCTAGCATGTGAAAGGAAAAGGCTTTGGTAGCTTGTCTGAAATCTTCACTTTCGAAACCAAATGAGATGTTCGTGAATTTGTGGGGAGCCTAAAAGACCATGGTCGAGAAGTTGGCTATCGGTACATAATTCAATTAGTGCTACTTGGATGGTTGAGGTTAACTTCATGGTCTCCTTTATGGTATCAACTTATAAATCAAAAACTTCATTTTCCGCGGTTTTAGAAGCTTAGTTACTTTTAAATAAAGAAAAAATATTAGCGCAAACTAATCTTCAGTTCAATTCATCTCAGGTCTCAAGTCCGTAACCAATTGCACAGGGTAATCCAATGAATAAGAGATTACGATTACAAGTTACTACACATCCTAAATTCTACTAAGCAATCCAAGTTACTTCAAAACCAACACCAACTCCCAGTACAACTCTTAACTGATTTGGTGTTTTTTTTTATCAAGAGGCATGATTGTGATCGATCTCCATGGACTTTTGTCCTTTTAAGTATGTGTTAAATGATTGCCGAATGATCAATCACTTAATGATTTCCTGATAGTTGTGAGTTACAAATATTTAACTAAATGATTTCTTGATTCAACTCAAGTGATTGTATCAGGGGGGAAGCTGTATCTGTCACTGCTAGGAAGAGGAGGCGATGGAATGGAAGATAGTGCAAGTAATGGCAATTTTGCATGGTGTGTGCAATGATTTTTTCTGCCGAGTTTATGATTTGATGCTATCCTAACTACCTATTTAATATGGCCTTTCACATGTTTTTTTTTCCTGATTGCATTGTTGGTGTGTCGAAAATGTTAATATGTGCGAAGTACGTTCTTAATATATCTAGAATTTATTTCCAATGCACTATGTTCATGTGTCCATTCAAATGTTAGAATGAGAAGTAATTATACTTTTAGAGTTATATGGATATAATTGATATTTGTAAAGTGTATAATACGTGTTCAACTTGGGAATGGATACCAATTAAACGTTATGTTACAAGCCTCCTGACACGAGGTACATGTGGTTCACTTGGGTAGCGATCAAAAGGTTCATTTTGTTTGTCTTTTGAAGCAAACTAATATCTCCACAACCTGTTTTGCCCGCGGCATAGCGCGGGCTTTTCCTTACTAGTAATCAGGAAATATGCATGCCGGAGGTGACTGGTGATAATGTGCCATGCTTTGTCTCTAATCCCAGGCTTGGGGAAACGCCACGCAGACAGAAGAAAGGAGGAGATGATGATGTTTCTCACAGCTTGCTCTTTGGGACGCCGACTGGTGCTTCTCTGGACCTCTTCTCGACAACTTTTGACAGCTGCTTCACTTGGTCCTTCCCCAAACTCCGGGGTTTGCTCAGCCACTGCCCTCCGTCTACCACCATTGTCGTACCATTCACAAATTTCCCTGAAGAGAAGAGAAGAGCAGATGATGAAAGAAAGAATGTGCGTAGGGAGCACGTTATGGTATGGAATTCCAGAAACACAGATGACAGCAATCAAACTTATCGGTGGAGGACGGATTGTATTTAATTTATACGAAACCTGCATCAGAGGCAAGGTAGAGGACGGACATGGCGATATCCCATTTATCCCCAAACCGGAACAGTGGGTGGTTCTGTTTGGTTATGTTGGGCAGCACAAGCTTGGTAACACCAGCAGTGTCCTGGATTGGTCCTGGCGCAATCCCATTCACTCTGATGTCGTAGTCTGTTCCCCACTCCAACGCCAGGCTGCGCGTTAAGCTGTCCACCGCTGCCTAACGGATTCAACATTCATTCTCGACGGACGAACCTTGTTCATGTAATGTAATGGCGACATGAGAGGATCGGAGCGTAACTAAAAAGAGCTCTAAGCTGTGGCGGCTAACCTTGGCAGCAGAGACATGGATTTGGTACCAACTGGCGGTGTAATGTAGAGTTGCGCTAATGTTGATTATGGCGCCGCCGGCATCCGACGGGTCTCTGCCCTCTCCTCCTCTCTTCAGATACTTCACTGCTTCGTGACACATTGTGAATGTTCCTACTGCGTCAATGTCCATCACTGCATTGCAACCATCCGATCGACGATAATAACGGCGGGAAAGTAAATCAAATCAGCAAGAGTAAAAGAAAGAAACTCGTACAGAAACAGAGGAGGGGCAAACCTGTTTTGAAGCCATTAGGAGAGAGATGCTCGGCCGGCGTGAGGAAATTCCCAGCGGCGGCGTTGACCAGAATATCAAGCCTCCCGAAATGCTTCACCGTCCCTTCCACTGCTCTGGCCGCGTCCTCTCCATTCCGAACGTCTCCGGCGAATCCGATCGCCTTATGAAGACAAGACAATAAAAGAAGTGAAGGATTAGAAGAATAGATTGAAATTTTCCGGTACCGTGGACGATTGAAGAAACCAATTGATTGATTCAGACGGCGTAGCGTACGGGGATTCCGAGCGATCGGAGAGACGAGACGGCGGAATCGACGATGTGTTTGCGGCGGCCCATGAGGGCGATGGAGGCGCCGTGTTTGCCGAGTTCGAGGGATATTCCGTAGCCGATGCCGGAGGCGCCGCCGGTCAACAAAGCCACCTTCCCCTTGACTATCTCCGGCCTGAAAGGTGAATCCGCCGCCATCGTCGCCGTGACTTGGTCAAGAATTATATATACGACTGGCTGGTGAAACGAGTTGAAACCAATCAGGGGCTCTCTCTCCTTTCTTTCGTTACAGTACAGTGGTGGACTTGAATGGGATATCTATCGTCCAGCACTTCTCCTATGCTATATAGTATTGGTGCTTTAATGTACAACTCAAAGTTGTATCATAACATTAAATGTATAAGTTTATGTTGTACCATAAAGCAATTTGTACCATTATGTTATGGTACAATTTTACAACTTGAAGTTGTACCTTCACATAAATATACAAGTTCAAGTTGTACCATAAAAGAATTTGTACAAAAAGTATAGGTACAATCTAAAGTTGTACCATAACATAAATGTACAATTTTAAGTTGTACCATCAAGGCAAAAACCTATAGCACTAATACTATATAGCATTGTAAAATTTCTCATCTATCGTCATACTCTGGATCGGGCTTGCTGATTGTATATCGGAAATAAGGAAGAAAATGATTTGGCGGCCGGCTGCGGCCAGCAGATAAAAATGTTTGTTTATGATGACCTCATTGACCTACCTACTAACCAACCTCGTTTCCTTCGTCACGAAAAGTTTTGTCGGAACGGAACGGAGAAAATGATGCAAGCCAAACATGGAATAGTTGTTGGGCTTGGCGCACTGCCTCTCCATTGGCGTTTTCGGGAGTTATCAACTTGGGAATAATTGGGCCAAACAGGTTGGGATTTTCTGCATATGTTAAGAAAATACTTTAATTAATTTCTGTATTGTCGTATTGATTCAATGCATATATTAACAACATACTTTATTTGATTGAGCAAAAAATGGGATAGACAATCCCATGTTAACAATCTCACCTTTTTAATAAAGTTTGACAATCATTCATTTTAAGTAATTATAGGTGAGCACAGAAAAAAGGTAATATATGCATTCTAACTCAAATTTAACAAAAAAAAAGACTTAATCTTACCATTATATGTATTGGTTAAATACCTCAATTGAAATCCCAACCTCCAAACAACTCCTAAGTAATTAACCTGGTTCGGTTAATATTTAAATTCGTTTTATCAATAAATAATAAGCTTAATTCACCTGCATAGCCATAACTATCACCGTTTTGACAATTATAGCAACTTTTTGAAAAATAAAAAATTATAGCCACATTTTGGAAACTCGTTGAACAAATTTGACCATTTCCTTTATAAACTTTCACGGTGTTAAAATTCCCATCAGTTAGGTTAACTTTTTTTTACTAGGATACCAAATCGACCTACACGTAAACGACAACTCAACACGCCTTCCACATGGATGACACTTCATATTAAAAGATGAGTTTTTAGCAAAAAATATTTTATTTTATTTTAATTCTTTTCTCTCTCTCGGGGGGTGAGTGATTGATAGGATCCTGTAATCGATCAAATTCCATCTAGGATTGATCGTCAAAGTGGCCAAGTCGAATTGCATGAAAGTAACAGAAAATTTTCCCAGTCATTTTTCGTATTCAAGTAGCCGACTTTGGTGGCGGTTCTCTCAATTGGCTCGATGAAAATTCGAGTTTGATAGCTTGTTTTGAACATAATGTTACCCTATACACAATGATATGGTTTTTGGATCCAGAAGAAGCCATTAAGACCATTTTCCATACGTCCAAAGTTGCTATCTGGAAAGCTGAAAACTGCTTGAAAATGACTTGAGGCAGAAAACTTTTTTGTGAAGCCTACTTTGGAGCTCAATTCGAGGAGTATGGATTTGATTCAAGTCCAAAGGCTTCTACAACATGAAACTAGGTATGTTTTTATACAAAGGGAAGGAATTGGATGAAAGATTGGAGTTCTGGAAGGCCTCGAATGAAATGCGCGAAGTTAGTACGAAAGCTGCTTTTTGGACTGTTTGCTGGCAGCCTACTTGGGGAGCAGATCCGGTGAGTAACCTTATGGTGAGTAACCATGAGTAGCTCGTCCACATCAGCATGACATCAGCAACCCTCTCTCTCTCTCTCTCTCTTGAAAAGACTTTTATCTTTTCCTTTTAATCTTTAACGAACGATTTTTCTTTCGTTTTAAGTCAAAATTTAAATTTGTTTGCATAGATAAATCATATTAAATGTGCTTTTCAAAATGATATTCATTTTGATATATTTTTGGAACAAAAAAAATTAAGCCATTTTTTACCAGTCTATACCGTATGGTCTTGACTGGTATTGAAATAAGACCATACCTATGGTTTGAAAAGCGTACCATTGTGGTATGAGCAAACCAAGAGTGTAGGATGGTTGAATACATGATAGTAGAAGTATATTAACTGTCATTTATGACTTTTAATATTGTGTACCACAAGATACCACCTCGTACCAAGGTGGTATTGTGTAGTATATTTTGTCCTGTAATTTGTTCACCCAGAAATTTGTAGATCCAATAGATCATGATGAACTCGTTCCTTCTGTGCAAACGTTTTCAAAAATGAATTAAAAATGAAGAAGTTACCATATGGTATGCAGTTGGTACCGAGAGGCAAGAAATTTTTTTTCTAAAAAATATTGAAAATGAATATCGTTTTGTAGAACACAACAAACTCGTTCCATCTGTGCAAAAAAAAAAATTTGAAATCCGAATTAAAACGAAGAAGATATGAGCCGATTAAGAAAGCTAGGGAAAATAAAAAAGACATTTAATTCTCTATCCTTATATCTGGATTTTCTAAATGAAGGGTCCAGATTTAGTTATTGATGGGTGCATAACCCATGGTTATGTGAGCCGCTTACTTGTGCTTCAAGAAAGATAGTTTTTGGTAGAGTTTTAGATCCTTTTTATAGTAGGTTTTATCTTAATTGTTTCCTTGTTAGTTTAGACTTGTATTAGGTTTTCTTTGGCTATAAAAGCCTTCTAGTTACAGAGTTGATTGAATTGAATACAGACCGTGTGTTTGAGTTCTTGAGTGGATTCCAAGAACCTTGTGAAGCTATCTGAGCGAATTCTAGAATGGTTTAGCAAGTTCTCTTATCATAAACCCAATTCCTACCACTATTGATAGGAATTGTAATTCCCAAAACTTAGGTTAAATGGAATTCATTTCTCAATCTTCTTATCATTCCAAACATAAAATATGGAATTGAAATTGGAAATGGAATTCCAATTCTTGAGTTTTTTGCCTATACAAACAGGCTGTTAAGTAACTGATATCTATCTTTGCTAAGATGACTTAAACGCCAATGCCACAGGTTGACATCTTGAGGATGAAGGTGTAAAGAGTAGCAGTCTGGGAATTGAGAGAAGATTGAGCTGGAAAAGTGGTATTGGAAAGATGATGTAGGCATCTACTTTGGTTTGCCAAACCAATGGCCGACCGAGTCTGTTGGTCCTAAATTTCACATACATCAAAATGAAAATGCAGCAAAACAGGTAAGTCTCTAGTCAACTTACTAACTGAAATCAAGTTGAAGGTGAAACTAGGAACCAACAACACATTTTGTAAGAGAAGTCCATAAGGGAGTTTAATGACACCAATGTGACTAACAAGGACTTTAGAATTGTTGGGCAGATAGACAAAAGAATTGGTCACAACAATATAAGCAAGGAAATGTATAAGACTACATGTGATGTGACCAGAGGCCCTGGTATCCAAAATCCAATTGGCATTCAAAATAGATTGATCCAGTCATAATGAGAGGAAAATATATACTGACCAACATGATTGGGGAATGTTGGTAAGAGTTGTGAAAATGAGAATGCCTTGGGAGTGATGCGAGGAGAACCAGGAGACTGAGATCCAGAATCACCAGCAAACTGGAGGATACTCTTAAGGAGAGAAAATTCTTCAGGAGAAAAGGTAAGAGCAGACTGAGATGGATTGGAGCTACCATATGAAACAGTGCTGATACTATCAGAAGAGTGACTGTCTTGAGAAACGAAACTAGCAAAGCCAGCAAGCAGCAGCCTTGTCCTTCTCCTTCTTCTTCAACTTCCAGCAGTCATTAATAACGTGATCAGTGCGTTTACAATACTTGCAAAACAAATTAGGAACACTGGTATCATGCTTGCCCCTAGACTTGGCAATCAGGTCTGGTTGGGTAATTTCGGCTTGGGGTTTCACATTACGGGTTGGCTAATTTCGGGACAAATATTGACCCAACCCATTCGGTTTTGGGTCGGGTTACAGCTCGTTTCGGGTTATGAGCGCTCTCAGAAACAATATCAAACATGCTTCATAATTTTTTTTAAAAAAATTAAATATTCACATATGCATGGCAATAGTTTACCTAACACATGTCAATTAACATTTTTCTCAAATCCTCCCATGCTAATGAAATGACATATGAATTGCACAGATCGTCAAAAAACAATCACAAGAGTAATACTACTACAAGAGACTCATGATATTTGATTATCCTTAAACTCCAAACATGTCTTTCAATTACTTGTGAATTTTTTAAACATCTCACCAATTTATGTGTGATTTTTTCATTTTGGGAGTTACATATGAAATGAAACGGGTCGACCCGCTAGTCCACCCAACCCGACCAAAAAAATCATGGGTTAATCGGGTTCGGCTCATTTGGGTTATAAAAATTCCTATTTTTTGGGCAAATTCGGGTCGGGTCAATGGGTTGGGATGTAATTTGCCAAATCTACTTGCCCCGGAGATGCTCTTGACCAGCAGCAAGAGAAACAGTTTGACTGCCCTTAACACCATGAGACTCACCCTTCATTTTATGTTCATGCTGCAGAAGATCATCCACCACAATAGTGACTGTGGGTAGGGGCTTCATCATCAATAGTTGGGTTTTAACAACTTCACAATCTTTGTTGTGACCCCGAAGAAAACGAAGCAAATAATCTGATTCATGCTTATGCTTAAAGGCTTCAACCGCACCACCAACATTAGGGTTACCAGGCAAACAAGTGCAGGGCACTATGGGGGAAAATTGCATATACTCCTCCCACAACCCCTTGATATCAGTATAATACTAAGTGATAGTGCGAGAGCCTTATTTGCAGGCATGGATGTCATCTCCGAGGTTGATGATATGAAGAGCATTAGGCTTCCCAAAGCAATTCTCCAGCTCGTCCCAGAGAACACGAGCATTCTCATGGTTCATCATACTATGAGCGATCTCTTTCTACAAAGAATTAACAAGCCAACACAAAACCAAAGTGTTGAAACCATACCAAAGATATAATTGGGCATCAGTGACAGTAGGAGATGGAATCAACCCATCGATGAAACCGAGTTTGTGTTTCATCTTCAAGGCCATATGCATCGAACGACTCCACATGGAGTAATTACTACCATCAAGAACCTCATAAATGATCGATTGAGAGAGATTCTCATTCAGATTGAGGTAAAGGGGGTTTCAAAAGGAGATCTCACCTTTACCACCCTAATCTGATGTCTCAGCATAGGTCCCGAATTGGAGTTCAGCAGCCGACCGCTGACCGCCGGGAGGAGTGAAAGGCTGTCCCATAACGCCGGATATCACAAATGGGAGGAGAACGTCATATCTGAGGCTATGATACCATATAGAAAAGTATAGAACTCGGTAGAAATGGATCGAAAACCCTCAGAGAAATCTGAGTTTCCTGTGTTTCTTATTTATATCGTTGAAAACAGTAATTAAGAGCCAGTTTAAACTAATCCCGACATTTGGGTCTCTTACATTCGTCTATGGAAATTAAAACAACCAATAACAAAGAAACAATAAACGGCAGCATTTGCAAGAAACGTTTCTCTCTTACTTTAAGCAAATGTTTCGAAGCTCCCTTGTAATTCGCTTCCAACCTGAGTTCTTCAGATCGCCAGAGCACTCATTATCACCTTGACCCTTCCTTCTGATGGAACATGAATAAACAATTTCTAAGATTGGAGTTGTGGCGAGTTTCATTCACAATTTTACATACATATTACTTGATGGTGATTTGATGATTTGAATGTAAATTTTGGTGTTAACGGTGAATAGAACTAGGGCGGATTGACAATGAAACGACCCTAGCTGTCATTATCAAATGTGTAATGTGTTTGTAAAGTTTAAAGTGGAAATTTATAGAGAAAATGGTACAAAGATGGATCTGAATTGTAAACTATTCATTTAGTGGCAAAGAACCATTAGCAAATCAAATCAAAATCTCGACCCAAACTAAAATAGATTTAGCTGATATTCTCGGCACATCCGACAATCACGAGCCCAAATGAATGAAGAATAGTGCATAAGGTGGTTTGGGCTCGGGCAATTTTTTTCCTATAAACAGGCAGACGAGACAATTGTTAGATTAATTAATTGCCCAGTTTACTTAAGGGGTCCAGTTGGATGTGTTCGAGTCCACGATAAGGTTTATACATTCGTTCCTTATGTGGTGAATGGGGAAGTTGTTGAAACAAAGTGCCTTAAGCCTAAATAAGGCTCTAGAAAGGTTGAGGCTTTGGTTGAGAATGGAACAGTTCTGGTGATTTATTCAAACACAAAATGAAGGTTTTAAACTCTAGAATATTTAATTATTTTATATTGTTATGAGTACAAAGCATCTACTGTAAATTGTCATTACGGTTTAGGATGGATTGAACTGTTAAATATATAACATAATTGAAAGGGAATTCTAATATCACTATAGGTGGGAAATGCATCCTTTGTGTTTCCATGCAAAAAAAATCGACAAGGGATTTGTAGTTGAAATTGAAGTTCTAGAGAATCATATAAATAAGATGCCTATCTTATCCCCAACTATGAGTTTTTCTCCCACTCTCATGAGCCATTTGATATGAGGTATAATAAGTTGATCAAATTCATGAATGTCTCTCAACATAGCTGTTGTAATGTTGGTTAGTGATCACGGCCTGGGTTGTTTCAGTAGACTACTCATAGTTGGATTATGTACTTATCATATGTAGTTCATTACAGTTGCTGTAATCTCAAATAGTCGAGAAGGAAAACCTTTTTAAAGCATTTCGCTCTCAGTCACTCAAAACAATGTATCCCACACAAGTTTCAAAAATGCGCTAGACGTATGGCGGGCGTTGAGCCTTTGCCTAGCGCCTAGCTCGCCTAGGCGTAGATTAAGCGTGCCTAGGCGTTGGAAGAAAAATAGCTATTCACAATGCATGATGAATGAAATAATAATCTATAAAACTTTATCACTAAAATTAAATTGATTAATAACTTACTCAACACTTAATGGAAATAACATAGCTCACGAATTCATAGAATCATAGCTCAATGGTTCACAAAGTTCTTGAGCTATGGAAAATATTGATATAGAAAATTGATTTCGTAGTTGATGTTAATTTTTTCCTTTAATATTGACTTCCTCGCTCCATTTAGTGATGTTTAAGAGAGACTTATATGTTGCCTTACTCCATTGACGTGTTTCAGTATATAAATAGGCGTGAAACCCCTAGGCGAGGCGTTTTGCCTTTGCCTTGCGCCTAGGCGTGCCTAAGCGTAAGGTTAAGCGTGCCTTTTTGAACCATGATCCCACACCAACCGTTAGTTAAATCGATGATAAGAAAGTTTTGCCTCAATGAGGTTATGTATATTCTCTGCTTATAGGTTCTTGCTATTCCTACCCTTCAATACATATTTTTGTGATTGAAGTCAGTATCATATTATTCTCTCATATTTGTCAAGTTTGTATGAGGTTGTGTAACGATCATCAATTGAGAAATTATATGGGTTGCTTTTCTTTTTACATATGAAAAGTTGTTGATTAGTTTGGGTTTCTAAAACTGGAATAATCTCCTTCTTAACAAAATGATATCTAGGCAAGAAGCTATTTCAAAGAACCCCAAGTGTAAAGACCCACAAACAACAAAATCAATATATCAAATAACAAAACAAAATAATATCTAGGCAAGAAGCTATTTCAAAGAACCCCAAGTGTAAAGACCCACAAACAACAAAATCAATATATCAAATAACAAATTAATGGAAGGTCATTAAAGTGGTTGGATGGATTTTGGTAGAACCATTAGATAGGTAATTTCTTAAATCTTATGCCTACTTGCCCTCTTTATTTGATTCATTTATTTTGACCGTCAATTAATTTTTGTAGGTTAAAGTCATAAATTGTTTCACTGCATACATTAATTATAAACTTTTAATTAAACGCCGCATCGCAAAGTGCGGGCCATTTAGCTAGTAAATGATTAAAAAAATAAGACAATAAATTTGTAGGATATATATATGGTAACTAGTTTTCATTGCCCTCGCCTTCGCGCCATGATTTGTGGAATAGGTAGAATACACTATATGGTTCCCTCCCCCAAAAAAATTGTGTTTGGTGATGAAGTTTTCACAATGTTTATTGTCGTTGACAAAGAGTTATAGTTCAATAGATAACGATTTGGTTTGATAATAATGGCAAGTCGAGGGAAAATATATGAAAAGAAAAGATCTTTTACAGTAAGTATTATTGTATGGAATGTGTTCATCTGGATTCGCGCGAGCAATAAGGGAAAGATTGAATGAAACATATGTCCTTGCTAATTTGGGATTTTTTTGTGTATCAATTTCGATGAATTTCAATAACCTTGAGGTAAATTGAGGGAGATTTATTAATTACATAAGGCGTCGTCTTCATGTCTAGATAAATGTACATGATTCTATCAGCATAAATTTACAGGTAGATATGAGAATAGAGTAACAAAAAAAGAAAGTCCCTACTCTCTTTTTTTTTTGTGAGAAAAAGTCCCCACTCTCTAGCTTACAAACTCGGACCCAAAGCATCGAATCCCGGGTAAAAAATATAAACTAACTACTAATTGTAAACCAAAAAGCTTAAAGCAGTATGCTTACAATTTTCATAGAGCTTGCTACATTTTCTAACTTCAAAAAGACAGCACAAAGATGCCAAAGAATGAATCCCGAGGATACCCACGTGGAGAGATGAAAAAAATTAAATCAACAATCTATATTTCACATGTATTAGTTAATGTATTAGTTAATGAAGTCATGAAGACATCTGCAATCAAGAATAGAGGCAACATAACATAGCAATCAAAAATCAAATAACGATTATCAGGATAACTATCGAGAACCATTCCAGAGAAACACACGAAGGATTATATCGAGCAGGGGAAAAAGAACTCCAACATCCATTAGTACGCAATTTGTTTAACCTCAAGAGGTGGATGGATTACATAGATTGTCTTCTCAAATGCATAAATCATTATCATTTAGGAAGCAAGAAATCCCAAACCAAAAGATGAAAGAACTTGGAGCAGATGCCAACCAAAGAGAGCCCTGAAGTCTTGCGTTTGTCATCATATCACTTCCCCGCAACCTAAAACTGACCAATCTTGTTATCTCACCATCTGTCAAAGGGACTACACCCAGTGAACACGTACCCACGAAGTAAGACAAAGAAGGAAAATACTTGGAAGCTAGAATAGGGAGCAGTAGAGATTTCCAATTTATATTGCAGTACGTTTTTTGCAATCTGGTTAGCTAGATCGACGGTTCCAATAGAACATGCCTATTACCAACCTTCAAAACACAGGGTCGGGTGAGAAAACAGTGGGATGTAGAGGGACTACTATGAGAGCGGATGTTGCCAATATTCCGCCGACTCTGCCATTGTGGTTCTCGTCTCCGGAAGCTGTGGTTCACCACCAAAATAGATCTATACCCTGAAATGAAAGAAGCAAAAGAGACGGAAGGAGAACAAATCAATGCAACGGCACCAAAAAAACAATTTTGGCCATAGAAAACTGGGAAGGAGGGAAGAGAGAAAGAGAGAGGAGAGAAGAAGGAAAGGATGCCTTGGATTTGTCGAGTTTCTTGAGATAATCATAGCCCCCGGGAGTCCATAGCAAAGATTATCAGAATAGACTATGGAGACACTGTTGTTCTTCCTCAACCTGGAAATTAAAGGGAAATTTTTTCTAGTAAGATTGCAATTAGCAAACAACAAAAAATAAATCAAGAAGAGGCGCACCACAAATGAAGCATCCTTGAGAGTGATGCAAGGATAGGCAAAATCAAGATCCAAAAGTTGGGATCTCACAGCTAGAGAGAGAAAAAAAGAACGAAGCTCTTTCTTGCCGAACCACTCAGAGCACAGCAAGGCATTACCGTCTACTGACAAATAAAGATTATTTATAAAAAAAAATCTGACCAACAAAGAAATGAGAAAAAGGGGATAGCAAATGAAAGGGAAGGATTGAGTAAAGAAGAGCATAATGAACCCAAAAAAAAAGGAGAGAGAAACAACTATAAGAATCAGAGGCGATGAATTGAAGAAGTGAAGTTGGAGAGGGAATGAAAAAGGAAGGTTTATGGCCAAAAAAGAGGCAACGGTCACCTTAAGGAAGAAAATTATCTATGACCACTCTGCTTTCTCAAGACTGACGTGCACAGTCTCTAGAAAAGGCATTCAGATTCCCAACAATCAAAAAGCAATATTTCATCTTTGCTCCGAGATCCCGAAGGGGCATATAGTTGATGAGCGACCAACGCGGGTGAGGAGGAAAGAGAGGGTCCGCAAGAAACAAACTTCCAGACCAGAAGGTGATCAGAGTTCAAAGGAAACTGAACCAGTGCCATTCCATCGCAAACAAACCAATGGTCCCCTACACCCCGCCCACACCCGAGTCCCATCCAAGTTGTAACAGGAAAATATGTCTGTATGTGCAGTAAAATGTGTATGCATGTACAGTGATCGGCCATTAGTGAGTTTTCTTTTTTCAATGATACGTACCATAAACATGAATATTATAATCAATTGGTCATGCCTATACAATACTTCTACATAAAGCAATTCTACCTCTCATACGACTTAAATATTTGTAACACCACCACTCATATACTTACGATCACCACCACCCTGTCACAAAGTGCTGCCAATAACACTTCTCCTAATTTCATAAATGTCAAATGTGGATGTTGAGAGTTGAGTCTACATAGTCAATTGTTGTATCTAAAGGATGATTGATTTCTATAGGAGCCGGCAGAACAGGTGACAACATTAAGGAGGTGCCAAGGAAATACATATATTAACGGGGTTGGAATAACCATGAAAGATGAAACTGATGCAATCAAAGTCACGCAGCTTTCACTCGAACAAGAACAAGGATAAAGATGGACTCCAATCGGACAGAACTTGCTTGTGGAAAGGGGCAATTGGTATGTCAAACCAATCGGACAATCCCAGCTAGAAGTAAAGGGCAATTGGAAGGGGTAGAACTCGCCACAATCGAAGTGGATATCCGATTGATAAGAGTTTGCTCTAGCTCTCTCCAGAATTCACTCAATGGAAGAAAGTAGGGCTAGAAACCTCAAAGAGGACTCGGCAAAAGCCTTGAATAAATCAGAAGTTTGGTGATAATTGTCTAACCCCAAAACCAACGTGTTCAGCCCTTGATGTCCTCATTAGTCCCTCCCTCTTCAAAAGGATTTGACCTCAAATCCGATTTCTCATCTACGTAAGGTGAAAGGTCAGCCATGTTGAAAGTAGCACTGATTCCAAACTCACCTGGCAAATCAACCTTGTAAGCATTCGGCCCCACCTTTGCAAGCACTTGAAAAGGACCATCACATCTAGGCAGCAACTTGGATCGTCTCTGCTGTGGAAACCTCTCCTTCCTCATATGAATCCATACCCAATCTCCCACTTCAAAGTTCCGAGGCTTCCTATGCTTATTCACATTCCTCATGATCTGCTCAGTTCTCCTCTCTATGTTCTGCCTTGCCTTCTCATGTAAGCTCTTCACCATCTCGGCCTTCTTCACACCATCCATATTCACTTGTTCCTTCGAAGGCAAAGGCACTAGATCCAAAGGAGTAAGAGGGTTAAAGCCATACACAAGCTCAAATGGAGAAAACCTTGTGGTAGAATGGACCATGCGGTTATAAGCAAACTCGACAGGAGGCAAGCAGTCTTCCCATGTCTTGAGATTACTCTTAATTACAGCCCTCAACATCTGTGAAAGAGTCCTGTTCACCACCTCAGTCTGGCCGTCGGTTTGTGGATGACAAGTAGTGGAAAATAACAACTTCGTGCCCAACTTGCTCCACAAGGTCTTCCAGAAATAACTGAGAAACTTAGCATCCCGATCAGACACTATAGACCTCGGCATGCCATGCAGTCTCACCACCTCTCTGAAAAACAAATCAGCAACGTTAACAGCATCATCGATTTTATGGCAAGGAATGAAGTGAGCCATTTTAGAAAACCTATCCACAACTACAAAGATGGAATCCCTCCCTCTTCTGGTCCTCGGCAGCCCAAGCACAAAGTACATGGAGATATCAATCCATGGTGCATATGGAATAGGCAAGGGCATGTACAATCCAGGTGGTTGAGCTTTGGATTTAGCCTGCCTGCACTCCACACAACGAGCACACAAGTTCTCCACATCTCGCTTCATATGAGGCCAATAGAAATGTTCCTGCAGACAACTGAGGGTCTTATCCACCCCAAAATGTGCCATCAACCCACCACCATGGGCTTCTCGAAGCAGCAATTCTCGAAGTGAAGTTCTAGGAATGCAAAGCCGAGTGGCTTTAAAGAGATAACCACCCCTCCTATAAAACTTCCCTGCTCCTTGCTTCTCACAAGCTCGAAATATATCTCCAAAATCAGCATCCTCTGCATATAGCTCTTTGATCTGCTCGAAAGCCAAGTAACGAGCATCCATAGTAGTAATGAGCACATGTCTACGAGATAAAGCATCAACAACCACGTTATCCTTCCCCTGCTTGTACTTAATCACATAGGGAAAAGATTCAATAAACTCAACCCATCTCGCATGCCTCTTGTTGAGCTTATGCTGAGCTTTCAAGTACTTCAATGACTCATGATCAGTATGAACAACAAACTCCTATGGCCACAGATAATGCTGCCAAGTCTCCAATGCTCGAACTAGAGCATAAAGCTCCTTGTCATAGGTAGGATAGTTCAATGCTGCTCCACTTAACTTCTCACTGAAGTAAGCAATGGGACGCTTCTCCTGCATTAATACTGCACCAATTCCCACTCCAGATGCATCACATTCAACTTCAAAAGTATTATCAAAATTAGGAAGAACAAGAACAGGAGCATGTGTAAGCTTATGCTTGAGCAGCTCAAAAGCTCTAGCCTGCTCTTCTCCCCACGAAAAAGCAACATTCTTCTTGATCACAGTAGTCAAAGGTGCGGCAATAGTGCTGAAATTAGGCACAAAGCGCCTATAAAAACCAGCCAAGCCATGGAAACTCCTTACTTCATTCACACTCGAGGGAGTAGGCCAAGCTTGAATACCTTTAACCTTCTCGTCATCCACCTTGACTCCATCTGCACTCACTACAAAACCAAGAAAAACCACACTAGAGGTGCAAAACGTGCACTTCTTCAAATTAGCATACAACTGCTCTCTTCTCAATGTCGCCAAGACCTGCCTCAGATGGTCCAGATGATCTTCCAAGCATTTAGAATATATCAGAATATCATCGAAGTAAACAACCACAAACTTCCCAATAAAAGGCCTCAGAACATGGTTCATCAACCTCATGAAAGTGCTCGGCGCATTCGTAAGCCCAAAAGGCATCACCATCCACTCATAAAGACCTTGCTTGGTCTTAAACGCAGTTTTCCACTCATCACCCTCCTTCATACGAATTTGGTGATAACCGGACCTCAAATCAATCTTAGAAAATATCATAGAACCATGTAACTCATCAAGCATGTCATCCAAACGTGGTATGGGATATCGATACTTAACTGTTATCTGGTTGATAGCTCGGCAGTCGGCACACATTCTCCAAGATTGATCCTTCTTCGACACAAGAATAACAGGAACTGCACAAGGGCTTAAGCTTTCTCGAACATACCCTTTGGCCATAAGCTCATCAATCTGTCGTTGAAGCTCCTTGCCCTCCTCAGGATTCGTCCTATAAGCAGCTTTATTTGGAATGGTAGCTCCAGGAACGAAATCAATTTGGTGTTCAATACCACGAATGGGCGGCAACCCCATAGGTGTTTCCTCGGGAAATACATCTTCAAATTCAGTCAACACCTCTCTAGCCACTTGAGGGACATCGTGGACGAGCTCTTGATTGATTAATGCCTCTCGGAATCGAACCACAATCATGGGATCATGGTTATTAATGGCCTGCTTCAGATCACTGCTTCTTGCTATCATGACTGCCTTTGAATGCTCAAGGGAATTCCCTCCTTGCTTCAATTTCCCTTCGGCCACCTCCTTCCTCGCTTGCTCTCGGCCTTGCTTCATTTGAAGCTGGTCTCCATACACTTCCAAAGGGGAAAGAGGTTTCAATACATACTTCTGACCTTCATGTCGCAGCTGGTACTTATTGTTCACTCCATCATATTGAACTTAACGATCAAACTGTCATGGCCTACCCAATAGCATGTGTGCCGCTTGCATAGGCACCACATCACATAGGATCTCATCCTTGTAACTCCCAATTTCGAATTTCATGAGCGCCTGTCGAGTCACCTTGATAGCTCCATGATCAGTCAACCATTGAAGGTTATAGGGCTTTGGGTGTTTCACAGTATCCAACCCGAGTGCCTTCACTACTCCTACACTTACCACATTGGTGCAGCTACCTCCATCCACAACCAAAGACAGCAGCTCCCCCTTCACCTTACACCGAGTATGGAAAATGTTCTCTCTCTGCTCCAGTTCACTCTGAGGTTGTGCGGTTAACACCCTCCTAGTAACACAACTCCGGATCAGGCCTCCTGTAGGTGGCTCCATCTCTATGGACTCATCCACTTCCGACTCCTGTGAACCAACTACATCGTCTCTATCATCCTCTTCCTCCTCAGATACATACTCTCCATTGTCCAGGAGAACCAATGTATTCTTCGTGGGACATTGGCTAGCTACATGTCCTCTACCATGGCACTTAAAACATTGAATGCCCCCTGATGATCCACCTTGCTTCACATTGCTACTAGATTCTTCCACCTTGGCAGCAGGTTTCGGACCTTCATTGAAAGGTAGGCTCGGCTTAGAATTATTGGCAGCACTCGGCATAGATCGTGGAGTAGAGTTAAAAGGCTGAATTCGATGAGTTCTTTGCTGCCTCTCCACCTTAGCCGCCATAGCTACCAACTCCTCCAGTTCAATGAAGGATTGTATCTCTACCACATTTCGAATGTCTCTATTGAGACCTTGCAGAAAACGAGCAATAGTGGCCTCCCTGTCTTCCCTCACATCGGCACGGATCATTAAGGTCTCCATCTCTTGATAATAATCTTCCACACTCCTTGTGCCTTGTCGGAGAAGTTGTAAGTTCTGGTGAAACACCCTAACCCGGCCGGGTACTACTTTTACTAAAATGCCCTTGATAACTAAAATACTCAAATCTTAAGTTGCAACTGGGAAAAATTTTAATAAATAAAATACTGAAAACACACACTTGTAGCTCAGAGCAAAGCCCTAACACGTGGGCAAATTAAACTCAAACTTTATAATCTCAAACTGATCTCCAGTCTATACTCATAATCATAAGATGTAAATAGCTAGGTAGTCTACGTCGTTGCTGCTACTGAAAATCTTAACTAGGCATCTTCCATGATGCTTATACTGCTCTCCTCTAGCTGGTTGGCCTCGAACTCGTTGCTCACTAATTGCTCCTCTAGCTCTTCAAACTGGTGAGTGAGATGGGGTCAGTCTACGCCCTTACGTTTAACCTCTTATTAAAACTTGAGCACTTTACTTAACTGTGTGGAAGTTGCTGCTACTGAAAATCTTAACTAGGCATCCTCCATGATGCTTATACTGCTCTCCTCTAGCTGGTTGGCCTCGAACTCGTTGCTCACTAATTGCTCCTCTAGCTCTTCAAACTGGTGAGTGAGATGGGGTCAGTCTACGCCCTTACGTTTAACCTCTTATTAAAACTTGAGCACTTTACTTAACTGTGTGGAAGTTGTTTTGTACTTCCACTATCGAAAAGCTTAACTCTTAAAACTGTATGGGAGTTACTGTTACACCATTCTTAAATCTCAAAGCTTGACTTAAATACTTGACTGACACTGGGATCCCTCACTAGCTAGTCCGGTTGCCAACTCATACGTATGAGAAGCCATTCAGGCTTTCCTTAAACTTAAACTTAGTTAGGGAAGTCGTAACGATTCATCCCCCTAACATCTTAAACTTATCGTGGTGGCTCTTCACCACGATTCTCAAGGGCATAACTGCTGCCCATCTTAAAAATCACAAGAGCATAACTGCTGCTCTATCTCAAACTGTCTCAAAAGGCAACGGACTGGCGCTAGTGACTAAAAACACTTAAAACGACTTCACCTTCTTGAAGGTGAGTTACTTTTAAAAAAAAAAACTTGTTTCTTACTCTTTAATAATAACTTATACTCGTAAAAATTTCAAAGTAATTAATAAACATTCACCTCAAGCATAGCTCAAACAAAATCACCTCAAATAGCACAAAATCATCTGAAACCATAACTCAAGCAAAGCACAAATAATCAATCAGACACATAACCAAGCAACGATAACCAATTCGCTAAAATACTTAAAATCATAATATTTAAAAGAATACGTAAGGCGTAGAATTTACCCCCTTTACACTCACCTTAACCAATTAAAAATCTCAGTTCACGCATCCAACCGGCTTGCCTGATGCTCTGCATCGTTCCATCTTCTTCATTGTGTACTCACACGGCGTACCAATAGTTACTCCTCGTAGAAAAATAATCCATTAGCTAACAACCACCCATCGGCCATAACCAACTTAAGCATATCGTCTAAACCTACCGATAGTTTTTTAGTTCTCGAGAACCTGCCCAATCCTAGTTACCAATCCCACTTCCTCACAATTTACTTCTAAAACGAACACCTAGAACCTTCACAGCATGGCTATTTAAGTAATTAATCATCTTTTTGTCCCATATGTGTCCAATTCCTTCGATTCCTATATAGGTTCCAATTATTCATAGAACATGCACCAACTGAGCTCGCCTTACAAGCATGCACGTGTAGTTATATAATCCTATACAGGTTCTTGCTTTACTCATCAACCACCCAGCCCTTGTATTTATCCACAACAACCCAAGCAACCAAGGCTCCACGCCATATGACATATTCCGCTCCCTAGCAACTAACCTACACTTATATTGAAATCGAAAACATAAGCACTCACCTATCTGCTCTTCAATTTAGTCGTAGTTGATCTTTCGATACAACCACCACAACCCCTGCACAAATCCCAGCCACGTCCGACGTAGGTAGGCATTCCACCAATCAATCCGATCTCTACTAACATGGAGGGTGAAATGGGTCCTTACCTGAATCAAGTCCTTCCACTTCATGCCAAAATAATTCCGTGCCAGGCTGCTTCTCCCCTTACCAACAATTCCGGTCCCTCGACTCAAATTCTTCCCAACGGTTCCAAGTAAATCCCTCCATCGTTGTCCCCGCGCCGTCATCCTCGCTCTTCCCCTGCACCAAATCCTTATGCTATCGAACAAGGACCACCGTCACGAGAAGTGGCATGCTTCCTGCCCCAAAAATGAAAAGCCTCTCCAATTTTATGATCCACAAAGAGATCGCTTGCACCCTTGGATACATGACCGGGGTTTAGTTCAATCGTGAGGGAAGGGAATTGAAGAGTTGTTTGAGCGGCAGAAGGAAGATAGAAAATTTTTTTGGCTCCTCTTAATGGTGCCGAGAGTGGGGTGGGGTTAATTAGGGTTAAAATTCCCTTTTTTTCCTCCTTTAAATAATTATTATTATTCCTAACTCAAAATTGTGACCCTTCGTACGTAACCGTTAATTCAACCTTTTATCAGTTAAAGTCGAACCTGAACCCAAAAGTCGGGGTGTAACATCTGGTGCATCTCCCTTTGATGATAGCTAGGCACAAACCTCTCTCTCATAATGCTTCTCATCTCGTACCAAGTCTCAATAGGTCGCTGCCTGTTTCTTCTTCTCTTCGTATTCAATTGATCCCACCAAATAAGAGCATACTCCGAGAATTCTAGGGCAGCAAGCATCACCTTCTTCTTCTCGGAATAACGGTGACAATCAAAAATCAGCTCCACCTTCCTCTCCCAATCAAGCCAATGATCAGGGTTTATAGTACCACGAAAAGGAGGAATGGAAATCTTCAAATTTCGGAAATCTTCTTCTTCTTCTTGCCCGAACTCATCCTCATCCTCTTCAAACCCCTCGAACCCTTCATTACGAAGAGGTCTTCGTTCTCTTTTTACTGCTCGCGGCAATCCCACCCTTCTATTTGCTTGGTTGCGTTGCACTTCATGGAACAATGGTGGGGGTGCTCGATTTTCTCTTCTGTCCTCTCGTTGAACCCTAGGGTTCGGGTTTGCTTCCACTTGAAGTTGTGGTTGAGGTGCTTGCAATCGAGCTTCAATAACTGCCATCCTCTCATTGTTCTCGGCTCTTTGAATTTTAGGGCTTGCAGAAGTTGCCCCAATTGAGTAGCTAAAGCTTCAACTCTATCCTCCATCTTGTGACACAAGAAAGGCCTCCAACCGCACAAGAAAATAAGATCAGGCTCCAAGAACCAAGTTCTTTTTCAAGATAACTTCAAGAACACCCAAGATTTGGGTAAGAAACCCTAGATAACCGTCAAGAATCTCAAGATAACCGTCAAGAATCAAGATAACCGCCGCTGACTTGAACCGAGCTCTGATACCACTTGATGCAATCAAAGTCACGCAGCTTTCACTCGAACAAGAACAAGGATAAAGATGGACTCCAATCGGACAGAACTTGCTTGTGGAAAGGGGCAATTGGTATGTCAAACCAATCGGACAATCCCAGCTAGAAGTAAAGGGCAATTGGAAGGGGTAGAACTCGCCACAATCGAAGTGGATATCCGATTGATAAGAGTTTGCTCTAGCTCTCTCTAGAATTCACTCAATGGAAGAAAGTAGGGCTAGAAACCTCAAAGAGGACTCGGCAAAAGCCTTGAATAAATCAGAAGTTTGGTGATAATTGTCTAACCCCAAAACCAACGTGTTCAACCCTTTAAATAGGCAAAGTACAACCCAAATCCGATTCCAACATGGAAAAACAATCATAAACCGACTTTAAAACAAGGAAACCCGAAAATAGCCCAGCAAACCCGTTAAGCAAACCCGTTAAGGCTGGACCCATTAAGCAAACCCGTTAAGGCTTCTTCTTGCAATCTGCCTTCTCTCCTGCACTTCCTCCTTCTTCCTCCACTCGAATCATCATATATGCTTTGGACTTCAGCAACTCCACATCCATGTCTCGAAAATGGCACTCCAAATAAGTAGCAAACTTCTCTTTGAATGCCTTAGCCTTAGCCCGAGTGATGGGCCCCTTGATGTCCTCATCAGAAACTGAACAGGGGTTATGTACATGCAGATCAATTTGGTTTACATACTCGCAAAACAGCTTACGATCATACAGTAAGATTGAAGATATCCTAGTAAACTTCCCACTTCCACTCACGTCAATAGTCTCATTGAATTACAAATCCAATCAAATGAGCCTAATAAAAGTAAGATCAAGATCCTAAAAACCACACCTTAATCTAGCTCTGTAAATAGAGCTACATCTAATGCCTCTGAACCTTTGCATAAGGATCAATCCACCGATAACCCTATCATCGAGCAAATCTCCATCCAGCAAATTAACCAAAACAAAAAGCTCATAGAACATCTACTGAAAATCATATGCGACCATAGCTAGCCAAAACATCCCACAAAACCCAGAAATCCAATTTATGATCTTCTTGCCTGTCCACCTCTATCACCTTCTTCCTTCGTCGCGGCAGCAGCAGCGAGAGGTACCGAGGGGCAACAATTTTCATGCCACCTTATGTGACCCAACCAAATCCTTTTATTGATGGAGCTCGACATAGAAGTAAGTAAAACAACAGAGAGAGAGAGAGAGAGAGAGAGAGAGAGAGAGAGAGAGAGAGAGAGAGAGAGAGGAACATCGATAAAGAAAGAAGAATCGACAAATCATATTGTGAAAAATAGTAGAAGGATAGATGAAAATCGTGAGATAGATGCTGATTCTCTATAGCTAATTATAGCTACCCATATAGTTAGTAAATACACTACGAGAAAGTTACATATAAAATGCATACGGATATTTTACTTCGTCTATAAGTAAATGGTACATGTAATAGTATGGTAATAGTCATAAATATATAAAATTAATTATTTTAGAAATAAATAAAATTTTAACTGTAACATCCCATTTCGGCTAAAACCCATATTTCGATCGTTAGAAAGTTCGCGATTTAAAATCGAGCATTTCGACACTATTTCGGCGAAAATCGAATTATCGATCGATCGGATAAGTATACGTATTAATTTTTATATATATATCCTGTCGATTTAATTTCCCCACCACCACCGTTCATTTTTCCATTTCTTCCTTCTTCTTCCATTTCCGAGAGAAACGAGAGAAACAGAGCACGCGCGGAGCTCTCGACCCAAAATTCCAAAGCTCAAAATCTTGAGCCCTAGTGATCCAAAAATCCCGTAAGTAATGCCTAATTCATCTATACATCGTGTTTTATCGATTTAGAGCTTTAAAACGAGTTTTTGGTTCAGGAATTTCTTGAATTCCCGATCTGCCAAATTAGGGTTTCGGAGTATCCGGAAGCCGGATTGAGCCCAAATTTCATATACGAGCTTCCTACAGCGAGGTAATCAATCCCCTAGTTCTAATTCCTGAATTTCGGTTATTATTTAGGCCGGGGTCCAAACCGCTGAATTTAGCTCCGGCCAGGGTTTGATGTGTTTTTATCGAGAATTTGACCCGGAGCCTAGAACTAATATTGACGGGGATACTGCAGGGGATATTAGGACGGTCTCGGATTTTAATTCGGGGTTCGTTCGTGAAATTGACGTTTTAGTACGGGAGGCTAGAACCGGTGTTTGAACGACCAGAACTGGTGAGGGATTAGCACGGCATACCGGGTTTGTCGTATCACGATAATTATATTGATGCTTAGAATTGACCTAGGTGAACTAGAATGGCATGATTAGGGGTGTATGGACTTTTGTGCTATATGATGAACCTTGGACTACTGTATGATATTATTGACTTGCCCTAATCGATATGAACCTTGTTTATGTGGATGATTGCCTACATGTTGCCATTTGTGGCTTAACTGTTGATATGAGTTTATGGTTGTTCGATAAGGGTTTTTGACATGGTGTGATATTATGGTTGTATTTGGATCCATAAGTGGGGGAATAAACTTCCCAGGGTGATATTATGATGTTTAAGGAGGATGACTTGCACGAGGGTTTATCCCGAGGAAGTGCAATTATACGACTCCTGATTTACCTATGTTGAGCCAATTATGGTCAGGTCAAGTACATGTGCAAGTAATGAATTATGATTAAGCAAGATGAGATATGAATCATGTATAAGGATACAAAATATGAGTGTTGTGGTCTCACGATCAACTACATAGTAATTAGGGCTCCCTATGCTATTACTCTATTATGATATGTATGATAGTCACACCTCTCATGTGGTGGTGACTGAAGAATTCTTATGAGATATGACCACACCCAGAGCGGTGTCGGGGTATGACTACACCCATAGTGGTGTGGGGTATGTGTGACCACATCCGACGGGATGTTGGGGTATGTATGACTACATCCGACGGGATGTGGGGTATGTTTCCCGGGAGAGTTATTAGCATGGGAGTAGCCAGGCGCCTATGATTAAAACATGATAAGATGCATATGCATAAGTCAAGGTGGTTGAGTCTTTTGCCTATTGGGATATGAGGATGGCTGAGGTCCGATCCTAGTGTTTTGGTTTGATTGTTAGATGTATGATAGGGGTATGCTCTGTTATGAACTCACGATGCTATGATTATCTCACTCAGCTATGAGCTGACCCTCTTTTATTCTTCTTCTCTGCTTATGCTATGTGTAAGCAGATCATCAGCAGCAGCAGTAGATAAGTGTTAGGTGGGAGAGGAGCTAGAGTTGAAGCCAGGATGAGGTATGGTCTTCAACTATTCTGTGCTTGGACTACTACTCGGGATTTTGGCCAGTGATCCACACCTTTTTGTAAAAATGTTTTGAGAACGTTTTTCATGTGCATACTAGCTTCTGATGTAGTGTGAGATATCCACAGGTGTGGAAAGTTGATGTTATGTGTATATTTTTGTAATTATGTAAGTTGTGACGATTATGGCTTGTATCAGTATAGTATGCAGTTGTGTAGTATGAAACTGTGACTTTGGCTATGAAAGCCAATGCTCATGGTTGTGAGTATATATGTTTGTGATGAATTATTTTGCAGGATAAGTTGCAAGAACTGTTAGCCCATTACGCGAGTAATTCATGTCGAAATTTTATTTAGGTAAATTTTGATAATTAATGTAACACCCGAGATTATTTCCGCTACAATTGTATGAACAATATGATTAGGTAATACGTATAGGGTAGGGTGTTACAGTTTGGTATCAGAGCCCGGTTCCCTCTTTTTGTTGTTATGGCGTACTATACCCTATGGGAGGTTAAACACTCCTAAGGAGGGGAGTGCCCCATAATGACTTAAACTGGGAATTGAGTTTGACATGATTATGTGTATTGGTATATTGGATGAAATTATCTGCATCATGGTTTTCAAAAATTGAGTTTTGAACTTATTTGTTTTCGAGTAATTATTTTGGGAAAATTTTTGTTTTAACCAAGTGAGAGATTTGGTGAAGAATGAATTTTGTGTGGATCAATCTAAGGCCAATATTTCCTTGTAGCTCGCACGGAAGTTGTGAAAATGTTCCTACTGACCAGTCGAGAGGAGTGGGGGCGGTTGATGCAAGACCGCTAGTATTAGATTATGCAAAGATGAAGAGTTTGGGTGGTAGGGACTTTAAGGGAGATGTGAGCCCAGATGCTGTAGTAGAGTGGTTGAGAGAGATGGAAGATGTGTTTGAGTATCTTTATGCAACCCCAGAGGAAAAAGTGCAGTATGTTGTTTTTCTCCTAAAGGGGTATGCGAGGAGCTGGTGGTCCTCAGTCTCTAGAGTTAATGGTGAACGAGTTCAGTTCACCTGGGAGGAGTTTCTGAAGGCCTTTAAGACAGAGTTTCTTCCCGAAGCTTTTATCAGGGCAAAGAACAATGAATTTTCCAACCTTAAGCAGGAGAATTTGACAGTTACTGAGTACACCATCAAGTTTGTTCGACTGCTTTACTTTGAGGATGGGTTGGCGGATACTGAGCATAAGAAGAAGATGAGATACTTGCATGGTCTGCGCATAGGATTGAAAGAAAAGATCCACAGGGTTGATGAAGAGAGCATGGCCACAATCAAGGAGGCAGCACTTAAGTATGAAGCCTATGAAGTTGAGAGCCGAGAGGAACACAAGGCCAAAGAAGAGGAGAAGAAGAGGAAGTTTGGAGTAAATTATGCTGGACCTCGTTACACCCAGGAGAGGTCCTAGCAGTTTTGGGAGAACACCAAGTCAATCTATGTCGGGAACATCATACAGGGCACCAATATCCTCAGCCACACAATTTCCATTTTGTCAAGTTTGTCAGAAGAGGCATATTGGAGAGTGTAGGAGATTTGCTGGTGTATGCTTTCACTGTGGCCAACCTGGGCACATCATGAGGGATTGCCCGCATGCGAGAGAAGTAAGAGCTACACAGTCCGAGCCTTCAGTGCAAATGAGTAGAGCCCCATTCAGGGGTGGTTACCAGGGAGGCCGTAGTGGATTTCAGAGTGGTCGTGGTGGTTCACAGGGTGGTAGAGGTGGTGGTCGAAATCAGCCATCAGGAAGTGGTACGCAGGGTACCAGAGCACAGGGAGCACCAAGGGTTTATGCAATGACTCGAGGTGAGGCAGAAGTGGCACCAGAAGTTGTGACTGGTATGCTTTCTATCCTTGGCAAGCAATTATATGCTTTGATCGATACTGGTTCCTCTCACTCATTCATGTCATATACGTTTGCACATATGCTACGCTTAGTTCCAGATAAGCTAGGTTATACCTTATGTGTTAAAACACCTGTGGGAGATACCTTGAAGGTAGACTCAGTTATTAGAAGTTCCTTCATTTGTGTGGAAGGAGCTTTCCTAGCAGCAGATTTAATTCTACTACCTTTTGATGAATTTGATGTCATCCTTGGAATGGACTTTCTGGCAACACATGGAGCTGTTGTGGATTGTCAAAAGAAAGAAGTGTTATTCAACACACCAGATAAAGGTCCTGTTGTATTCCGAGGCATTAAGAAAAAGGAGACTCATGGTTTTCTTTCTGCCTTGGAAGCTTTTCGGTTAGTGAAGGAAGGTTGTGAAGCCTTTCTTACTCAAGTTACTGTAGTAAATGATAAAAAGGTTGAGGATGTAGAGGTGGTAAGGGAATTTCCTGATGTATTCCCTGAAGAACTTCCCGGCCTTCCACCAGAGAGGGAAGTAGAGTTTGATATTGAATTGGTACCTGGCACAACACCAATTTCAATGGCACCATATAGAATGGCACCAATTGAGCTGAAGGAGCTTAAAGAACAATTGCAAGAATTGTTAGACAAGGGGTTTATTCGACCTAGCATCTCACCTTGGGGTGCACCGGTTTTGTTTGTCAAGAAGAAAGATGGCTCCATGAGAATGTGCATTGACTACCGGAGGTTGAATAAAGCAACAGTGAAGAATCGTTATCCCCTTCCAAGAATAGATGATTTGTTTGATCAATTGCAGGGTGCATCAGTCTTTTCTAAGATTGATTTGAGATCTGGATACCATCAATTGAAAGTGGCAGATGGAGCAACCTCAAAAACAGCTTTTAGAACAAGATATGGGCATTATGAGTTCCTGGTAATGCCTTTTGGACTCACTAATGCACCAGCGGTATTTATGGCTCTTATGAACAGAGTTTTCCATGAATATCTTGATAAGTTTGTGATTGTGTTCATAGATGATATTCTCATCTATTCTAAAAGCGAGGAGGAGCACAAAACTCACCTTAGAATTGTGTTGCAAATTCTAAGGGAGAAACAATTATATGCAAAATTCTCAAAATGTGAGTTTTGGCTGAAGGAGGTAATATTTCTGGGACATGTAATTTCTGGAAGAGGTGTCGAGGTGGATCCGAAAAAGGTGGAAGCAGTGGTGAGTTGGACTCCACCAAAAGATGTGTCGGAGTTGAGAAGTTTTATTGGCATGGCTGGTTATTATCGGCGGTTCGTAGAAGGATTTTCTAAAATTGCTGCACCATTGACTAAACTGTTGAGGAAGAATACTAAGTATGTTTGGGATGAATCATGTCAAAAGAGTTTTGATGAACTGAAAAAGAGATTGACCACAGCACCAGTACTTGCACTACCTTCAAGTCAAGGAGAGTTTGTGGTGTATAGTGATGCCTCGTATCAAGGATTGGGCTGTGTGTTAATGCAAGATGGAAGAGTTATCGCATATGCCTCTAGGCAATTGCGTCCTCATGAAGTAAATTATCCCACTCATGACTTAGAATTGGCAGCGGTGGTATTTGCTCTCAAGATTTGGCGACATTATTTGTATGGTGAGACTTTTAAAATTCTAACTGATCACAAAAGCTTGAAGTATATTATGGATCAGAAGGATTTAAATAGTCGCCAGAGGAGATGGATAGAGTTGTTGAAAGATTATGATTGTACCATTGATTACCATCCAGGTAAAGCTAATGTAGTTGCTGATGCTCTGAGCAGAAAGGGGAAGAAGAATATAAATGATCTGGTTGATTTGAGGGCAATGAATGTGGATTTGGAAGTGGATGGTGTGACAGGGTTACTAGCTCGGTTGAACATTCGACCTTTGTTGCACGACAAAATTCGTGAGAAGCAGAAGGAGGACCCAGAGTTGGTAAAAATCATTCAAGACATTCAGGAAGGAAAAGAAAGCCCATTTGAAATGGTAGATGGCATGTTGAAGATTAATGGAAGAGCATGTGTTCCTAATGTTGATAACTTGAGGAAAGAGATCCTAGATGAAGCTCATTCTTCTGCTTATGCTATGCACCCAGGAGCAACTAAAATGTATCACACGATCAAACCATATTTTTGGTGGCGTGGGATGAAAAAGGAAGCGGCTGAACATGTTTTCACATGTCTAGTATGTCAGAAAGTTAAGGCAGAACATCAAGCTCCCGTGGGAAAACTGCAACCACTTCCAATTCCAGAATGGAAGTGGGAAAGAATCACAATGGATTTTGTATATGGTCTTCCATCATCAAGGGGAAAAGATGCAGTATGGGTTATTGTGGACCGACTAACCAAATCGGCTCACTTTTTACCCATTAGATGGAAACCATCACTGGAGACTTTGTCTCAACTATATATTAAGGAGATCGTCAGATTGCATGGTGTGCCAATTTCTATTGTCTCTGATCGAGACCCGAGCTTCACATCTCGGTTTTGGCAAAGTTTACATGATGCCTTGGGAACTAAATTACATTTTACTTCAGCTTATCATCCTCAAACAGATGGGCAGAGTGAACGAAACATCCTAACCTTGGAGGAATTACTTCGATCATGTGTAATGCAATGGGAGGAATCATGGATTGACCATTTGCCCTTAATTGAGTTTGCTTACAACAACCAGTACCATAGTAGCTTGGGTGTTCCACCATATGAAGCACTTTATGGGAGGAAGTGTAGAACACCATTATGTTGGGATGTAGAAGGAGCAAGGCAAATCTCAGGGCCAGAGATAGTTCAGATCACAGTTGACAAGGTCAAGGAAATCAGGGAGCGTTTGAGGGTGGCTCAAGATCGACAGAAAGTTTATGTTGACACGAGTAGGCGTGAAGTTAATTTCGAAGTGGGTGAGAAAGTATTTCTCAAAGTGTCACCTTGGAAAGGCGTAATGAGATTTGGTAAGAAAGGGAAACTTGCACCTCGGTATATTGGGCCATATGAAATCACAGAGAAGATTGGACCAGTGGCTTATAAGTTAGCATTGCCTCCAGAACTATCTCAAATCCACAATGTATTTCATGTTAGTATGCTGAAGAGGTACAAAGTGGATCCTTCCCATGTGATACAACCAGAAGATATCGAGTTGGGTCCTGATTTGACATTTGAAGAGGTTCCAGTTGAGATTGTTGATTTTCAGATTAAGAATCTTCGTAGGAAGGAAATTCCAATGTTGAAGGTTATGTGGAGGAATCAAGAAAGTGAGAGTGCTACATGGGAAACTGAAGCAAGTATGCGGGAGAAGTACCCTGAGTTAGTAGCAACCTACTTTACAGGTTAACAATCTTGCTTAGTAAGTTATGTTTTGAACTTGCTGACGTGTTTTTGTTGTGATAGCCCAGTATAGGTTTTTGAAACCTAAACATGGGAACTTGAGGTGTTATGTGTTACCTTCTATGTTATGAATTGCCTGACCTAAGAGTTAGGTAATGACTTTATGTGTGATAGACCAAGTTAAGGGTAAGTAAGAGGAGTTAGAGTTTGACTCAAGGTTAGATTTCGGGGACGAAATCTTTTAAGGAGGGGAGAATTGTAACATCCCATTTCGGCTAAAACCCATATTTCGATCGTTAGAAAGTTCGCGATTTAAAATCGAGCATTTCGACACTATTTCGGCGAAAATCGAATTATCGATCGATCGGATAAGTATACGTATTAATTTTTATATATATATCCTGTCGATTTAATTTCCCCACCACCACCGTTCATTTTTCCATTTCTTCCTTCTTCTTCCATTTCCGAGAGAAACGAGAGAAACAGAGCACGCGCGGAGCTCTCGACCCAAAATTCCAAAGCTCAAAATCTTGAGCCCTAGTGATCCAAAAATCCCGTAAGTAATGCCTAATTCATCTATACATCGTGTTTTATCGATTTAGAGCTTTAAAACGAGTTTTTGGTTCAGGAATTTCTTGAATTCCCGATCTGCCAAATTAGGGTTTCGGAGTATCCGGAAGCCGGATTGAGCCCAAATTTCATATACGAGCTTCCTACAGCGAGGTAATCAATCCCCTAGTTCTAATCCCTGAATTTCGGTTATTATTTAGGCCGGGGTCCAAACCGCTGAATTTAGCTCCGGCCAGGGTTTGATGTGTTTTTATCGAGAATTTGACCCGGAGCCTAGAATTAATATTGACGGGGATACTGCAGGGGATATTAGGACGGTCTCGGATTTTAATTCGGGGTTCGTTCGTGAAATTGACGTTTTAGTACGGGAGGCTAGAACCGGTGTTTGAACGACCAGAACTGGTGAGGGATTAGCACGGCATACCGGGTTTGTCGTATCACGATAATTATATTGATGCTTAGAATTGACCTAGGTGAACTAGAATGGCATGATTAGGGGTGTATGGACTTTTGTGCTATATGATGAACCTTGGACTACTGTATGATATTATTGACTTGCCCTAATCGATATGAACCTTGTTTATGTGGATGATTGCCTACATGTTGCCATTTGTGGCTTAACTGTTGATATGAGTTTATGGTTGTTCGATAAGGGTTTTTGACATGGTGTGATATTATGGTTGTATTTGGATCCATAAGTGGGGGAATAAACTTCCCAGGGTGATATTATGATGTTTAAGGAGGATGACTTGCACGAGGGTTTATCCCGAGGAAGTGCAATTATACGACTCCTGATTTACCTATGTTGAGCCAATTATGGTCAGGTCAAGTACATGTGCAAGTAATGAATTATGATTAAGCAAGATGAGATATGAATCATGTATAAGGATACAAAATATGAGTGTTGTGGTCTCACGATCAACTACATAGTAATTAGGGCTCCCTATGCTATTACTCTATTATGATATGTATGATAGTCACACCTCTCATGTGGTGGTGACTGAAGAATTCTTATGAGATATGACCACACCCAGAGCGGTGTCGGGGTATGACTACACCCATAGTGGTGTGGGGTATGTGTGACCACATCCGACGGGATGTTGGGGTATGTATGACTACATCCGACGGGATGTGGGGTATGTTTCCCGGGAGAGTTATTAGCATGGGAGTAGCCAGGCGCCTATGATTAAAACATGATAAGATGCATATGCATAAGTCAAGGTGGTTGAGTCTTTTGCCTATTGGGATATGAGGATGGCTGAGGTCCGATCCTAGTGTTTTGGTTTGATTGTTAGATGTATGATAGGGGTATGCTCTGTTATGAACTCACGATGCTATGATTATCTCACTCAGCTATGAGCTGACCCTCTTTTATTCTTCTTCTCTGCTTATGCTATGTGTAAGCAGATCATCAGCAGCAGCAGTAGATAAGTGTTAGGTGGGAGAGGAGCTAGAGTTGAAGCCAGGATGAGGTATGGTCTTCAACTATTCTGTGCTTGGACTACTACTCGGGATTTTGGCCAGTGATCCACACCTTTTTGTAAAAATGTTTTGAGAACGTTTTTCATGTGCATACTAGCTTCTGATGTAGTGTGAGATATCCACAGGTGTGGAAAGTTGATGTTATGTGTATATTTTTGTAATTATGTAAGTTGTGACGATTATGGCTTGTATCAGTATAGTATGCAGTTGTGTAGTATGAAACTGTGACTTTGGCTATGAAAGCCAATGCTCATGGTTGTGAGTATATATGTTTGTGATGAATTATTTTGCAGGATAAGTTGCAAGAACTATTAGCCCATTACGCGAGTAATTCATGTCGAAATTTTATTTAGGTAAATTTTGATAATTAATGTAACACCCGAGATTATTTCCGCTACAATTGTATGAACAATATGATTAGGTAATACGTATAGGGTAGGGTGTTACAGTTTGGTATCAGAGCCCGGTTCCCTCTTTTTGTTGTTATGGCGTACTATACCCTATGGGAGGTTAAACACTCCTAAGGAGGGGAGTGCCCCATAATGACTTAAACTGGGAATTGAGTTTGACATGATTATGTGTATTGGTATATTGGATGAAATTATCTGCATCATGGTTTTCAAAAATTGAGTTTTGAACTTATTTGTTTTCGAGTAATTATTTTGGGAAAATTTTTGTTTTAACCAAGTGAGAGATTTGGTGAAGAATGAATTTTGTGTGGATCAATCTAAGGCCAATATTTCCTTGTAGCTCGCACGGAAGTTGTGAAAATGTTCCTACTGACCAGTCGAGAGGAGTGGGGGCGGTTGATGCAAGACCGCTAGTATTAGATTATGCAAAGATGAAGAGTTTGGGTGGTAGGGACTTTAAGGGAGATGTGAGCCCAGATGCTGTAGTAGAGTGGTTGAGAGAGATGGAAGATGTGTTTGAGTATCTTTATGCAACCCCAGAGGAAAAAGTGCAGTATGTTGTTTTTCTCCTAAAGGGGTATGCGAGGAGCTGGTGGTCCTCAGTCTCTAGAGTTAATGGTGAACGAGTTCAGTTCACCTGGGAGGAGTTTCTGAAGGCCTTTAAGACAGAGTTTCTTCCCGAAGCTTTTATCAGGGCAAAGAACAATGAATTTTCCAACCTTAAGCAGGAGAATTTGACAGTTACTGAGTACACCATCAAGTTTGTTCGACTGCTTTACTTTGAGGATGGGTTGGCGGATACTGAGCATAAGAAGAAGATGAGATACTTGCATGGTCTGCGCATAGGATTGAAAGAAAAGATCCACAGGGTTGATGAAGAGAGCATGGCCACAATCAAGGAGGCAGCACTTAAGTATGAAGCCTATGAAGTTGAGAGCCGAGAGGAACACAAGGCCAAAGAAGAGGAGAAGAAGAGGAAGTTTGGAGTAAATTATGCTGGACCTCGTTACCCACCCAGGAGAGGTCCTAGCAGTTTTGGGAGAACACCAAGTCAATCTATGTCGGGAACATCATACAGGGCACCAATATCCTCAGCCACACAATTTCCATTTTGTCAAGTTTGTCAGAAGAGGCATATTGGAGAGTGTAGGAGATTTGCTGGTGTATGCTTTCACTGTGGCCAACCTGGGCACATCATGAGGGATTGCCCGCATGCGAGAGAAGTAAGAGCTACACAGTCCGAGCCTTCAGTGCAAATGAGTAGAGCCCCATTCAGGGGTGGTTACCAGGGAGGCCGTAGTGGATTTCAGAGTGGTCGTGGTGGTTCACAGGGTGGTAGAGGTGGTGGTCGAAATCAGCCATCAGGAAGTGGTACGCAGGGTACCAGAGCACAGGGAGCACCAAGGGTTTATGCAATGACTCGAGGTGAGGCAGAAGTGGCACCAGAAGTTGTGACTGGTATGCTTTCTATCCTTGGCAAGCAATTATATGCTTTGATCGATACTGGTTCCTCTCACTCATTCATGTCATATACGTTTGCACATATGCTACGCTTAGTTCCAGATAAGCTAGGTTATACCTTATGTGTTAAAACACCTGTGGGAGATACCTTGAAGGTAGACTCAGTTATTAGAAGTTCCTTCATTTGTGTGGAAGGAGCTTTCCTAGCAGCAGATTTAATTCTGCTACCTTTTGATGAATTTGATGTCATCCTTGGAATGGACTTTCTGGCAACACATGGAGCTGTTGTGGATTGTCAAAAGAAAGAAGTGTTATTCAACACACCAGATAAAGGTCATGTTGTATTCCGAGGCATTAAGAAAAAGGAGACTCATGGTTTTCTTTCTGCCTTGGAAGCTTTTCGGTTAGTGAAGGAAGGTTGTGAAGCCTTTCTTGCTCAAGTTACTGTAGTAAATGATAAAAAGGTTGAGGATGTAGAGGTGGTAAGGGAATTTCCTGATGTATTCCCTGAAGAACTTCCCGGCCTTCCACCAGAGAGGGAAGTAGAGTTTGATATTGAATTGGTACCTGGCACAACACCAATTTCAATGGCACCATATAGAATGGCACCAATTGAGCTGAAGGAGCTTAAAGAACAATTGCAAGAATTGTTAGACAAGGGGTTTATTCGACCTAGCATCTCACCTTGGGGTGCACCGGTTTTGTTTGTCAAGAAGAAAGATGGCTCCATGAGAATGTGCATTGACTACCGGAGGTTGAATAAAGCAACAGTGAAGAATCGTTATCCCCTTCCAAGAATAGATGATTTGTTTGATCAATTGCAGGGTGCATCAGTCTTTTCTAAGATTGATTTGAGATCTGGATACCATCAATTGAAAGTGGCAGATGGAGCAACCTCAAAAACAGCTTTTAGAACAAGATATGGGCATTATGAGTTCCTGGTAATGCCTTTTGGACTCACTAATGCACCAGCGGTATTTATGGCTCTTATGAACAGAGTTTTCCATGAATATCTTGATAAGTTTGTGATTGTGTTCATAGATGATATTCTCATCTATTCTAAAAGCGAGGAGGAGCACAAAACTCACCTTAGAATTGTGTTGCAAATTCTAAGGGAGAAACAATTATATGCAAAATTCTCAAAATGTGAGTTTTGGCTGAAGGAGGTAATATTTCTGGGACATGTAATTTCTGGAAGAGGTGTCGAGGTGGATCCGAAAAAGGTGGAAGCAGTGGTGAGTTGGACTCCACCAAAAGATGTGTCGGAGTTGAGAAGTTTTATTGGCATGGCTGGTTATTATCGGCGGTTCGTAGAAGGATTTTCTAAAATTGCTGCACCATTGACTAAACTGTTGAGGAAGAATACTAAGTATGTTTGGGATGAATCATGTCAAAAGAGTTTTGATGAACTGAAAAAGAGATTGACCACAGCACCAGTACTTGCACTACCTTCAAGTCAAGGAGAGTTTGTGGTGTATAGTGATGCCTCGTATCAAGGATTGGGCTGTGTGTTAATGCAAGATGGAAGAGTTATCGCATATGCCTCTAGGCAATTGCGTCCTCATGAAGTAAATTATCCCACTCATGACTTAGAATTGGCAGCGGTGGTATTTGCTCTCAAGATTTGGCGACATTATTTGTATGGTGAGACTTTTAAAATTCTAACTGATCACAAAAGCTTGAAGTATATTATGGATCAGAAGGATTTAAATAGTCGCCAGAGGAGATGGATAGAGTTGTTGAAAGATTATGATTGTACCATTGATTACCATCCAGGTAAAGCTAATGTAGTTGCTGATGCTCTGAGCAGAAAGGGGAAGAAGAATATAAATGATCTGGTTGATTTGAGGGCAATGAATGTGGATTTGGAAGTGGATGGTGTGACAGGGTTACTAGCTCGGTTGAACATTCGACCTTTGTTGCACGACAAAATTCGTGAGAAGCAGAAGGAGGACCCAGAGTTGGTAAAAATCATTCAAGACATTCAGGAAGGAAAAGAAAGCCCATTTGAAATGGTAGATGGCATGTTGAAGATTAATGGAAGAGCATGTGTTCCTAATGTTGATAACTTGAGGAAAGAGATCCTAGATGAAGCTCATTCTTCTGCTTATGCTATGCACCCAGGAGCAACTAAAATGTATCACACGATCAAACCATATTTTTGGTGGCGTGGGATGAAAAAGGAAGCGGCTGAACATGTTTTCACATGTCTAGTATGTCAGAAAGTTAAGGCAGAACATCAAGCTCCCGTGGGAAAACTGCAACCACTTCCAATTCCAGAATGGAAGTGGGAAAGAATCACAATGGATTTTGTATATGGTCTTCCATCATCAAGGGGAAAAGATGCAGTATGGGTTATTGTGGACCGACTAACCAAATCGGCTCACTTTTTACCCATTAGATGGAAACCATCACTGGAGACTTTGTCTCAACTATATATTAAGGAGATCGTCAGATTGCATGGTGTGCCAATTTCTATTGTCTCTGATCGAGACCCGAGCTTCACATCTCGGTTTTGGCAAAGTTTACATGATGCCTTGGGAACTAAATTACATTTTACTTCAGCTTATCATCCTCAAACAGATGGGCAGAGTGAACGAAACATCCTAACCTTGGAGGAATTACTTCGATCATGTGTAATGCAATGGGAGGAATCATGGATTGACCATTTGCCCTTAATTGAGTTTGCTTACAACAACCAGTACCATAGTAGCTTGGGTGTTCCACCATATGAAGCACTTTATGGGAGGAAGTGTAGAACACCATTATGTTGGGATGTAGAAGGAGCAAGGCAAATCTCAGGGCCAGAGATAGTTCAGATCACAGTTGACAAGGTCAAGGAAATCAGGGAGCGTTTGAGGGTGGCTCAAGATCGACAGAAAGTTTATGTTGACACGAGTAGGCGTGAAGTTAATTTCGAAGTGGGTGAGAAAGTATTTCTCAAAGTGTCACCTTGGAAAGGCGTAATGAGATTTGGTAAGAAAGGGAAACTTGCACCTCGGTATATTGGGCCATATGAAATCACAGAGAAGATTGGACCAGTGGCTTATAAGTTAGCATTGCCTCCAGAACTATCTCAAATCCACAATGTATTTCATGTTAGTATGCTGAAGAGGTACAAAGTGGATCCTTCCCATGTGATACAACCAGAAGATATCGAGTTGGGTCCTGATTTGACATTTGAAGAGGTTCCAGTTGAGATTGTTGATTTTCAGATTAAGAATCTTCGTAGGAAGGAAATTCCAATGTTGAAGGTTATGTGGAGGAATCAAGAAAGTGAGAGTGCTACATGGGAAACTGAAGCAAGTATGCGGGAGAAGTACCCTGAGTTAGTAGCAACCTACTTTACAGGTTAACAATCTTGCTTAGTAAGTTATGTTTTGAACTTGCTGACGTGTTTTTGTTGTGATAGCCCAGTATAGGTTTTTGAAACCTAAACATGGGAACTTGAGGTGTTATGTGTTACCTTCTATGTTATGAATTGCCTGACCTAAGAGTTAGGTAATGACTTTATGTGTGATAGACCAAGTTAAGGGTAAGTAAGAGGAGTTAGAGTTTGACTCAAGGTTAGATTTCGGGGACGAAATCTTTTAAGGAGGGGAGAATTGTAACATCCCATTTCGGCTAAAACCCATATTTCGATCGTTAGAAAGTTCGCGATTTAAAATCGAGCATTTCGACACTATTTCGGCGAAAATCGAATTATCGATCGATCGGATAAGTATACGTATTAATTTTTATATATATATCCTGTCGATTTAATTTCCCCACCACCACCGTTCATTTTTCCATTTCTTCCTTCTTCTTCCATTTCCGAGAGAAACGAGAGAAACAGAGCACGCGCGGAGCTCTCGACCCAAAATTCCAAAGCTCAAAATCTTGAGCCCTAGTGATCCAAAAATCCCGTAAGTAATGCCTAATTCATCTATACATCGTGTTTTATCGATTTAGAGCTTTAAAACGAGTTTTTGGTTCAGGAATTTCTTGAATTCCCGATCTGCCAAATTAGGGTTTCGGAGTATCCGGAAGCCGGATTGAGCCCAAATTTCATATACGAGCTTCCTACAGCGAGGTAATCAATCCCCTAGTTCTAATCCCTGAATTTCGGTTATTATTTAGGCCGGGGTCCAAACCGCTGAATTTAGCTCCGGCCAGGGTTTGATGTGTTTTTATCGAGAATTTGACCCGGAGCCTAGAACTAATATTGACGGGGATACTGCAGGGGATATTAGGACGGTCTCGGATTTTAATTCGGGGTTCGTTCGTGAAATTGACGTTTTAGTACGGGAGGCTAGAACCGGTGTTTGAACGACCAGAACTGGTGAGGGATTAGCACGGCATACCGGGTTTGTCGTATCACGATAATTATATTGATGCTTAGAATTGACCTAGGTGAACTAGAATGGCATGATTAGGGGTGTATGGACTTTTGTGCTATATGATGAACCTTGGACTACTGTATGATATTATTGACTTGCCCTAATCGATATGAACCTTGTTTATGTGGATGATTGCCTACATGTTGCCATTTGTGGCTTAACTGTTGATATGAGTTTATGGTTGTTCGATAAGGGTTTTTGACATGGTGTGATATTATGGTTGTATTTGGATCCATAAGTGGGGGAATAAACTTCCCAGGGTGATATTATGATGTTTAAGGAGGATGACTTGCACGAGGGTTTATCCCGAGGAAGTGCAATTATACGACTCCTGATTTACCTATGTTGAGCCAATTATGGTCAGGTCAAGTACATGTGCAAGTAATGAATTATGATTAAGCAAGATGAGATATGAATCATGTATAAGGATACAAAATATGAGTGTTGTGGTCTCACGATCAACTACATAGTAATTAGGGCTCCCTATGCTATTACTCTATTATGATATGTATGATAGTCACACCTCTCATGTGGTGGTGACTGAAGAATTCTTATGAGATATGACCACACCCAGAGCGGTGTCGGGGTATGACTACACCCATAGTGGTGTGGGGTATGTGTGACCACATCCGACGGGATGTTGGGGTATGTATGACTACATCCGACGGGATGTGGGGTATGTTTCCCGGGAGAGTTATTAGCATGGGAGTAGCCAGGCGCCTATGATTAAAACATGATAAGATGCATATGCATAAGTCAAGGTGGTTGAGTCTTTTGCCTATTGGGATATGAGGATGGCTGAGGTCCGATCCTAGTGTTTTGGTTTGATTGTTAGATGTATGATAGGGGTATGCTCTGTTATGAACTCACGATGCTATGATTATCTCACTCAGCTATGAGCTGACCCTCTTTTATTCTTCTTCTCTGCTTATGCTATGTGTAAGCAGATCATCAGCAGCAGCAGTAGATAAGTGTTAGGTGGGAGAGGAGCTAGAGTTGAAGCCAGGATGAGGTATGGTCTTCAACTATTCTGTGCTTGGACTACTACTCGGGATTTTGGCCAGTGATCCACACCTTTTTGTAAAAATGTTTTGAGAACGTTTTTCATGTGCATACTAGCTTCTGATGTAGTGTGAGATATCCACAGGTGTGGAAAGTTGATGTTATGTGTATATTTTTGTAATTATGTAAGTTGTGACGATTATGGCTTGTATCAGTATAGTATGCAGTTGTGTAGTATGAAACTGTGACTTTGGCTATGAAAGCCAATGCTCATGGTTGTGAGTATATATGTTTGTGATGAATTATTTTGCAGGATAAGTTGCAAGAACTGTTAGCCCATTACGCGAGTAATTCATGTCGAAATTTTATTTAGGTAAATTTTGATAATTAATGTAACACCCGAGATTATTTCCGCTACAATTGTATGAACAATATGATTAGGTAATACGTATAGGGTAGGGTGTTACATTAACCATAAATAATATATATATATATATATTATAGTAAATTTAGGAATTTAATTCATTAAATATGGATATTAAACGTGTTATACAAGCTTTATACGTGTTTAGTATGGGGGCCATAAAATAAATGAAAAAAAGTGAAATGATTTGACAATAATATGAATACAAAATTTTAAACGGATAAAATATGTACGATTATATATACATATATTAAACGAAGTATTTACTACTATGGGAAAAAGAATGCAAAAATTAGTCCAGAAAGCATAATGCCCACGTTCGCCTGCAAATGAATGTCTGTGACCCATGCAAAACTTACCCACATCACAAGTTAGCAAATCTCTTGTTCAACAGTGACATTCTCATATGTATGATTATATTTAAGGTATATGAATTTGGGGTTAATTGTATGGTTGGTCACTAATATTAAAAAAAACGTTCATGTTTGATCACTTGAAATATTTAATTCTATTCGTGGTAACTAAAATTAGTTAAATAGTTCAAGTTTAGTCACTCTTGGTTAACTTTTGCTTATGTGGCAGTGAACTCTTACAATTGAAAAATTAATATTTAATATTTTAAAATTTCCAACTCATTAATTGAAAAAACAAAATTACAAAATACCTAATTTTTCTTCTAATCCCCATGTTCGATTGAAACTCAATCCTCCATTGCAACTTCACTCATGCCAGCCACCTCCCATCAACAGAAACCCATAAATCTAAGACAACCCGAAACATCCCCTTAAATCTCATACCACCTCCCACCGGCCACCTCCCACGCAGTGGCCGATCCAGGGGTGGCCACCCCGGGCCCCGGCCCAGCCTTCTTCTGGATTCATAGTTAGTATAGGTCTTATGAATTCTTCGATTTTAGATATTCGGGTCGTTGTTATTTTAAAAAACATTGGGTATAATTAGAAAAATAATTCAGATGAACATATTCAAAATCACTACTCTAAATTTAGCTTATAAATTCTAACCCCAAAGGTTATTCGTCTAAACAAACAATGAAACCTAAAAATTTAAAAAGTTTAAAACGTAAAAGACTGGAAATTTACTAGTGCAGCTGGTGGATATAGGGATGGAAACACAATGCAAATTGACTAGTAGATTGATTTGTCTAGTGTTGATGCTGCTCGTTTCAACAGCTAATACGAATAGAACCTTTTCAACAACGAAACATGTGAAAATTGATTTGCGCAACAAAATGAGCGATGGATTTCTAGTCGATTGCTCAAGTATTTTATTTGAAACAGTGTATACTATTGGTATGGATGTGGACTCCATTATTAATGTATTCGCTAAATTAAAATACCGTCGTGTACAATTTACATTGTAAAAAAATTATAATCATTAAATTTTTTTACTATTCTTATTTTTTTAATAAAATGCGGCCCAGTGCACTTCTGTGTTCTGGATCCGCCGCTGCTCCCACGAGATCCCCATCAACGTAACCCCTACCCTCCCCCCAACCCCAAAGATATCGTCCTTCCTGTAAGAGCTTTGCCTTCCTCCATATGTCGTCGTTGCTCACTTAAGACGCTAGTAAGAGTACCGAGGCAAAGATTTGATTCCACACCCAGTAAAAGTTGCCTTCGCCAAACAACATGTTCAATCTCGCACAAAAATCCCCAAACTCTAACAAAAACAATAAATATCCAAATCACTCTCTGTTGAAAACAAAATATTAAATATTAATTTTTTAGTTGTCACGTGGCACATTTATTGGTCAATCGTAAGAATTGACTGCCACATAAGCAAAATTTAACAGAGATGGACGAACAGTGACCAAACTTGAACTATATAACTACTTTTAGTGACCATGAATGAAATTAAATATTTCGAGTGACCAAACATGAACGTTTTTTGTAATTTCAGTAACCAACCATGTAATTAACCGTATGAATTTGAGGTGGTTTTGTTTCTCGGGTTGTGAAATTCCTTATCAAATACATGTACTATATAATATATGTATTATTTATTTTTCACTTTAACGTGTATAATTTAACTTAGTATATTGTAAATTACAACGTTTGATATTGTGATTGCATTTTTAGTAATAAAAATGAAAATTTTGTTAAAGGAAATGTCACTTGTACATCTTATTTTCTACGCAAAATGTAATTTTTAAAAGTTAAAGTTGTATCGAAAAACAACTCTACAATCTCAACTCAACAGTCTCAAATCTCAACCATCTAAACTAAACATTGAAATTGTACGCTCTATTACATTAAACAAACAATACATGTATTCTCTCTAAATACAAACCAGAAATATAAATCTTATAACAATCTTGCCAAACAAATCAAAGAAAGCTGAACACTTGATTGTTGGCAATAAAGATCCATGAAATACAAAAAGATCTCAAGGTTAGGTGATTGATTGCATAACTAATCAGCAGCAGTGACCCACTATGTAATTGTTTTATGATGCACTACTGACCCACAAAAAGAGTTTATCATTGGCAATCGTCCAAATTGAACTAATTAATTGTTCCTTGGTGTTTCATAGATTAATGAACCACGACTAGCAGTATGGTATAATAGCTTAGTTTGGCCCTGCAGTAGTTTTTGCATAGTTTTTGCAGAAGTAGCTTTTGGATGAAGTTTTTAGATAAGTACTTTTCAAAAAAAGCAGTTGAGTGTTTGGCTGTAAAAAAATTAGAAGTGCTTTTTAATATGAAAGATTGTGTAAAATGACTATAAATGACTTATAATATAAAATATGAATAAAAATTCTAAACAATAAAAAGTAAAAATGGATCTTGTTAGATTTCTTTTATATTAAATAATATGATTTTATAATTTATTTTATTTTTAAAATGATATAAATGAAGGAAAATTATATTTTCTGAAATAAAATTAAAATATGGTAAGGATAATCTTGTATTTTCAAAACAGTTTTTCGCAGAAGCTCCAAATCGGAGCTTCTGCTTTTATGTTATACAAAAGCGCTTTTCGGCTTTTCAAAAACAAGCTTTTACAGGTGTTTGGCTCTGCTTCAGCTTTTGAAGCCTAAAAGCATTCTAAAAGTAGGGCCAAACATAGGGAATAGAAGTGCCTCCACAAATCCCCACTTTTTAAAACAAAAGAATTCCTTATAGATCTCGCTTTCAATCATATGAACAATCCTCCAACAAAGTTTCTTACGGGTCGTTTGCTTCATGGATTTGAAAAATGAGGGTTTTGGTAAAACCTGTGTTTTGGAAAACCATGGATATATGATGGATTTGGTGGCATTATGGATTTGAACAAGTCTATTGTTTACTTGATGGATTTGATTATGGACTTTGTTTGATTAGATTTGTGGATATTAAATACAAATTACCTAGTTACCCTTATTTAATTATATTTTTATATTATAATCAAAATCTTTCATTTAAAACTAATCCAAAACTTAGAAAGAAATTTTAAACTCTTTACCACTATGTGGATTAATAATTCAACTACAAATATAGAAATGTATTACAATTTTGGCACTAATTAACAATTCATCTTGGCACTAATTAAAAATTCATCTAATAATCCTTCATAAAAAAAAATTCATCTAATAATGTACGCAATATTATGTATCAATTGCAGTCAATTGCTCGCTTTATTGCTACAACTCATCATCTTCTTGCTAACTCACCGATGTGGAATCTGACAATCAATCAAATAATAATGTACAAGATGAGCATAAAGTGTTTCTAGGTGAATCTAACAAATCACATATACATTCATATTTAAATAAAATACGATATAACAAAATGAAATGATAACTTCTCATATTTATAAAATACGAAATTATAAAAGTTTACGGTTGCATGACCATTGAATTAAAGTAGGACAAATTTGTAATTAAAGAAATAATTAAGGGTAGAAAGGTAATTTACCATCATGGATTGTAATCCATCACCCAAATCCCACCTCAAGAGGTGGAACTTCCAAGTCCGTGGGGTCCACGGATTTGGAACCCCAAAAGTGGTGGGCCCCACAAATTCCATCTCCCTAATTCCCTAAGGCAAACGATGGATTTCGGTTCAAGTCCATGATGGATATATTTCCATGACCAAATCCATGACCAAAACCCTCAAGCAATCGACCCCTAAGGGGATTGCTAATTTGCATGAGTAGAAGCAGTTTGACTGTTAATCGCTAACCGATCCGACTATCACCACTAACTATTTTCATATAGGATTCAAGCAAAGATTAATGAAGGATTGCTAATTTTTATCTTGCCGCAAATCGGATTGTAAAAACCATCTACTATCATCCAGACTATTACGGTACACAAATATTATGTACCATACCGACGGGACTTACTTAGTAAAATAGGCGATCCCGATAATAACAATTGAATTTTTTGGTGTAGGTCAACATATAATGCTAGTTGGATATTTTATATTAACAACGGTATCGATATGCTATCGGTTCGATCAAGATATTTTCACTCAAATACCATCTCATTGATTTGTCTATTACAACTTTAGACACTGATGTTAATCCCTTTTTAATAATGTTCTTAGTTCTTACAACTAAAATGTTTAATTTGTATTAGCACTTAGCAGAATATCCTTTCGTATTATTCTCGGAACTTGGTCGTTAACGTTTTTTCCTATTAATTTTCCGTACTGTGCCAACTTAATTTGTACTAAACATTCAGAAAACAAAGTAATGCAGCATCTAATTTTCATTATTGAAGGAGGTTTCACATGGCTAATCTCTACCAAAAAAAGGTAGTTGACCACTTAACAATTTTTAAAACCCACATTTCCATTAGAATTCTAATGAATAATTTTTAATAATTGATACTAACAGATCGTTTGGTATCAAATGAATCGAAAATTCATTTCATTATAAAATGAATTACCGTGTAAAATTCATTGTCAAATGAAATCTTTTGTTTGGTATGTCATATTCAAATTTTCAAAAATACTATGAATTGTTTGTAGAATTCATTGTCAAATTAATTTTTGTGTTTGGTATGCCATAGGAATAAGTAATTTAGTTAATAAAATAGGATAATTATATCATTATGTTATAATTAGTAAAATACTTGTGGAATTCATTTGGAAATTCCATCTCAATTCCTCGAAATTGCTATAAATAGTTCCAATTGCACATAATTCAAAATTTAGAATGGAAAATGAATTCTTTTAAATACCAAACACAAATATATTTCATTTCAAAATGAATTCCTTAAAATTTATGAAATTCATTTATACCAAACGGTATGTAAATAATGATATGGTGCCACGGGTTACAACTAATTACAAGTTGGATATCAAATGCACACACTACCTCGTTATTGTTTGTGTAAACGGTAAACAAAGACATCGTAAAATTTTAATAAATAATTTTAGAACCTTATAAATATACGTTTATAAATGTTCGATTTAGAGCTTACAAACTTTTATTTAGCATGTATGAATTTCTCATAATCATTCTCAATTTATAGTTGTATGTCGGATGTATAAATAAAAGAATAAAAGGTACAACATAGTTCATAGACGTCCTCGTATTTTCATATGATATCACACTACCAACAATTATACTGTGGTATTACATTTTCGTGAAATGAAAACTCGAAATCATTATACATAAAACATAAAATACGCTTGTATAACTTTTAGCACCCTATTGGCTTCTCATTTTTCTTCTTTTTGCAGCAAATGAAAAAGGTGAAATTGTTTTTTCTTTTCTTCTGACCTTCTTGTTTTGTTTTCCAGTGAAGTGAAACTTTCGTCACCGGAGCAGCCACAAGAAAGAAACCCACTGTTAACTGTTAAAGGAAACAACAAACCGAGAAAGAAGAAAAAGAAAAAAAGAATGGATTTGCCTTGCCAAAGAAACAAGTTCAACATAGGAAATTTGTTTACAATTACAATTCGACAAGCTTGTTATTTATTTATTTTACGTAATAATGGTAATAAAATAAGCAACCAATTCACAGTTTGATGCTGCTGCGCTGCTTATGTCATTGTACTACCACCGCTTCCTTTCCGCCCACCTTCACATATATATCTTCCTCCGTTCGGCAGCCATTTTTGTCCGCCTAACAGTACAAAAAGGGAGATTCAGCCTCCCTCGTGTTTTCCTCCCTCTACAGTAATAAACATACAAATCACAAACAGACGACTTTTTTCTTCTAGTTCCGCTGCTTCCTCTCCTCTTTCTTCAGCTCCCTCTGCTGCCTGCTGAAATCCCCCGAAGAAACTCTAGGGAACTGGGTTTTTGCTTCCTTTTCCAATAAAATCCGAGCAGGGTTTTGCTAATCTCAGTTTTCCGGTTGATGGGCATGTGATTGAGAGAAGGAAAGCTGAAAGCTTCTCTTACCTGATTTTGGCTTGCTGTACCAAGGACGGAGGCTTAGCTGTTTCGTTGTTTTTGTCTGATTCGTGTGGCTAGAAGGTGAATTGACCCCACGGAAGGGACGAATTGTATTGTTGCGATGATGACACTGCGAAATTAATGTGTGGGAAGTTCTGTTGTCTTTTTTCTTCTTCTTTGCTATAGTCTGTTTGATTGAGCTGGAGTTGTGTCTATCTATCCATCCTCAATCGCCTATCTCTGCTCTACTTTCCATTCCTTCTTTCTGTTGGCAATTTGTTTGTTTTCTTCTACCTCTCTCTCTCTCCCACCTTCTTTTCCTTTTTCAGTCTGCTGCAACCTTTCAAGCATTAAATCGCTTCTGGCTCTTAGGAGCGGTTCTGTTTCTTCTTCCACCTTGGATTCGGCTTTGGCAGTAGATAAGTTAAGAGTTGTTTAATTTTTTATCTTCTTCTTCTCTCTCCCTAGATGAGGCCGCTGGGTCCAGGTTCATGAATAAGTTCCTTGGCAAGCTTGGTTTTCTGCTACTTTATTACTTCAAGAAAGGTCTAGCTTTTCCAATAGGGAGTGATTTCCTACCATTGGGTGTTCTTAGCGGCTGGTTTTAGTCTCTAGAAACGGAACTTTTTTTTGGTTCCCTATGAATTCTAGCATGGAGATAGAAGGTAGGAACGATATCGATGAAGACAGCGAGTCAAACAGAGGCAGCATGTGGGATTTGGATCAGAAGCTTGATCAGCCCATGGATGAAGAAGCTGGAAAGCTCAAAACTATTTACAGGGAAAAGGTATGATCCTGCATGATTTCACCCTGTACTGCGTCTCTTTAACTTTTCTCAAGATTGAAGATACTGTTTCCTTGTTTACTTCGTGATGATGGAGCTTTGTTGATGTTGTTGCTTGAATTTGGACTCCACCTGCTCCTTGTTTTTGGTCGTCGGAACTTTATTGTCAATTAATTAAATACTATATCCCTTTGTTTAATTATTCTGGTTGAGTGTCAACTCTTTGATAAGGTCGTCGCTTTTGGAATGAGGTCATAGTTCAAGTCTTCAAGATCATTGGTAATTTCTGCAATGATTCTGATTCCTTTTCGTACTGCAGAAATTCTCAGCAATTCTGCTTCTTCGGCTAGCATTCCAAAGTCTTGGAGTTGTTTATGGGGACTTGGGCACATCTCCATTGTATGTGTTCTACAATACTTTCCCCAAGGGAATCTCTGATCCGGAGGATGTAATTGGAGCTCTTTCCCTTATAATATACTCTCTTACTCTTATACCTCTCCTCAAGTATGTCTTCATTGTGTGCAAAGCAAATGACAATGGTCAAGGTAAATCTGGCGTCCCTCCTTAGTTACATGTTCTTTGCATTTTGTAGAACAAGTTGTTAAGTTACATTTCCTGGAGCTGGTGATGACTGAACTTTTCCACATTTCTGCAGGTGGTACACTGGCTCTGTATTCTTTACTTTGTCGACATGCAAAAGTAAAGACGATTCCCAATCAACACCGGACGGATGAGGATCTGACAACCTATAGTCGCTCTACTTTCCATGAACAATCTTTTGCTGCTAAAACTAAGCGATGGTTAGAGAATCATGCATTTCGGAAGACTGGGCTTCTTATTCTTGTTCTTGTTGGTACCTGTATGGTGATTGGCGATGGAATTTTGACTCCTGCTATTTCTGGTAACTGGTTACCCTCTTCTCTGATCAGTTTCATGTCTAAATTCTCTGCAGTGTGATCTGCTCTCACATGATGTCCTGAAAGAAGATTCTCCTTAGTAGATTGTGGCTGGAACAATCTAATTTCATGGTTTATCCCTTGTCTTTTATGTAGTATTTATACCATGTTGGTGATAATCTCACGGCAGTTTCAAGTGTCTACCTACAGTTCTGCTGCTTTTGTGAGTAGCTGTATCTGAGTAACTGTCTTTGGTACATCTAGTTAGTTTTCATATCTGGGACAATAGTGCAGAATCCATGTACATGTGGTACAAGGGATAACTATAAATCTAGTTAGCTTTCATTTTGACTATAACAAGGTTGCTGGTGTCAAGGAAGAATCACACATTTGTTTATCATGATGTCTAGTCATTTCCTAGAACATTTACTTCATAGGTTACGACTCATTAACCTTGTTTGTTGAATCCATAATTCACTTCCCCAGCTTTTCATTACGAGTTTGTCTGTCTCTCTCACCTCAGTCAAATTCAGCAGGGGCTTAGTTAGCAACAAATTCGCCAGAAAATCCGAGTATTAAGTTCTTAGCTTGCAGTGTGGCTATTGCATCGTCCATGTTCCACTTTTAAAATGCTCATAAAATTATAATGTGTAATTCTTTGGAACGTTTCTACCCAGGGGAACATATATTTACATAACATTCGCTTTGCTCCATGTCTTGCAGTTCTTTCTGCCGCTGGAGGGATCAAGGTGAACAAGCCAGGAATGAGTGGGGGTATTTATCGTAGTGAACAAACATTTGCATATGCATTCACATTTGAAGAGCGACCCAGTTATGCATTCTTGTCTGAAATCCATTTATCAGTAACAGCTAGTTATTCCTATTTCTTGTTGCAGATGTCGTCATAGTGGTTGCTGTTGTAATATTAGTATGTCTCTTCAGCATGCAACATTACGGGACCGATAAAGTTGGCTGGCTCTTTGCTCCCATCGTCCTTCTTTGGTTTCTGTTAATTGGGAGTATTGGCATATACAACATATGCAAATATGATGCAAGTGTTCTTAAAGCCTTTTCGCCTGTGTATGTTTACCGATATCTTAAAAGGGGAGGCAGAGATGGGTTTATGTCTCTTGGAGGGATCATGCTTAGTATTACAGGTAATATTGCCTCTCAACATTTCCAAGTTGCCTGAACTTCAAGATTATATTATCCAGTGCCGATTGAGTTGTTGGAAGTATTGCTGCGATTAGAGCTGGTATCCTGATTCTGATTCTGATTCATGAACAATTTCAGGTACCGAGGCACTTTTTGCTGATCTAGCCCATTTCCCTGTTTCGGCCATTCAACTTGCTTTTACGGTAGTAGTTTTCCCTTGCCTCCTGCTTGCATATTCGGGTCAAGCTGCTTATCTTGTGAAAAACAAGGAACACGTAGTTGATGCTTTTTACCGCTCTATCCCAGGTTTGTCCGATGCTTCATAATTCCCTCAGTTAGTCATGTTATCCTCTGAAATGTGATCTTACAGTTAATACAAAACAACCTTTTCTTTATATGCAGAGAGCATATACTGGCCAGTGTTTCTTATCGCTACTGCAGCAGCTGTGGTTGCAAGTCAGGCCACAATCTCAGCGACATTCTCAATAATCAAGCAGGCACACGCTCACGGCTGCTTCCCAAGAGTGAAAGTGGTGCATACCTCCAAGAATTTCCTAGGACAGATTTACGTCCCCGATATCAATTGGATCCTTATGATTCTGTGCATCTGCGTCACCGCTGGATTTAAGAACCAAAGCCAAATCGGAAATGCTTATGGTCAGTGTTCACAATGAATTAATAGTCCATTATACTAAACTTCACCTGACAATCAATTTCACACCTTAGTTTCCTTTGGATTTCATTACTCAACAGGGACGGCAGTGGTAATAGTCATGCTGGTGACTACCCTCCTGATGGTCCTGATCATGATCCTTGTGTGGCGCTGCCACTGGATCCTAGTCGTGCTCTTCACCGGCCTATCCCTTGTGGTGGAATGCACCTACTTCTCGGCCGTGCTCTTCAAGGTCGACCAGGGAGGTTGGGTCCCACTCGTCATCGCGGGTGCTTTCCTCATCGTCATGTACGTCTGGCACTACGGCACACTCAAACGCTACGAGTTCGAAATGCACAGTAAGGTCTCGATGGCGTGGATCGTAGGCCTCGGCCCCAGTCTGGGACTGGTGAGGGTCCCCGGGATAGGCCTGGTCTACACTGAGCTTGCCAGTGGCGTCCCGCACATCTTCTCCCATTTCATCACCAATCTTCCCGCCATCCATTCCGTCGTGGTTTTCGTGTGCGTCAAGTATCTCCCCGTGTACACGGTACCTGAAGAGGAGCGGTTTCTGGTAAAAAGGATCGGCCCCAAGAACTTCAGAATGTTTAGGTGCGTGGCCAGGTACGGATACAAGGACCTTCACAAGAAAGATGACGACTTTGAGAAGAAGCTGTTCGACAGTCTCTTCCTCTTCGTCCGGCTCGAGTCCATGATGGACGGGTGTTCGGATTCCGACGAGTACAGCTTGTACGGACAGCAAACACAACATTCAAGGGATGGACTGTTGAACGAGAACGGGAACACGGTTGGGTCGGTGGTGGATACGACGCTGTCTTCCATAGATTCGATCGTGCCGGTGAAGGTGACGACGACGGTGGGATCTTCGGGGCAGGCGAGCAGCCAGACGGAGGTTGACGAGGTGGAGTTCTTGCATAGCTGTCAGGACGCGGGAGTTGTACATATAATGGGGAACACGGTGGTGAGAGCGCGGAGGGAGTCGAGGTTCTACAAGAAGATTGCGGTGGATTACATATACGCGTTCCTTAGGAAGATTTGTAGAGAGCATAGTGTGATTTTTAATGTCCCCCATGAGAGCCTGTTGAACGTTGGACAGGTCTTCTATGTGTAATTAAGAAGAAATCTTGTGCTGTGCTTCGTTCCCGTTTAGTCGGGTGATTGTTTGAAAAAAGCGGGAAATGGCCCACTCTCTCATTGTCATCTCTATCGCAGTATCAGGATCTGTGACGCTGCCAGCGTGTCGAATGGTGGTTCTTTGCTACACAATTGGTCACAGGCTCACAGCAATATATGGCATAGGCTCACGAAGTCGAGCCTTCTAAACTCCATACTCCATACCCAGTTGCCTTCCTCTGTACATTTTTGGTGAAACGTGGCATAGGCTTTTCCATTTTTCGCCATTTTTTGTTTGGGCAGTCAAATTCTGTTTCTGATTCCAAATTTAGCAATTTATTGATCGTCTCTCGTTAGGCTCTGATATTTCTGGGTGTTCACTTTTTCTCCTTGATGTCTCACTCCGCTCCAACGATGCCCATCGATCGAGGGTTTCAGAAACACAAACCCATTCAGGTAACTTGGTTTCTTTCTCCATTTTACTATCTGCTTCATGGAGTAAAGTCTGGATCTTTACTTCCAGTTTTGCGCGGTACGTCGGGACAAGTATCGAGAATGTGGGGTTCGATCGTGACTGGGAAGACATGAAATGAGAGATTGATTGATGCCTGCTGTATTGGAGAAATTTGTTTGACGAGATAATGACTGCAAAGGGCGAGAAGAATGAAGCCAACGAAAATGGCCGGTTGTGGGCTCTTGATCAACAGTTCGATCAGCCCATGGACATCGAAGCCGAATGCGTCAGGAGCCAGATTGATGAACAAGTGCATCATCGTGTAAGTTACAACCCATTTCTCTTTTTTTTGTTTCTCACTTCTATTGCAGTTCTTGGCTTCTTACTGCGGAATTTCTGCTGATAGCTAATATGGTTTTCTAATTTATTGTTGCAGAAACCTTCCAGTTTGGTGCTGTTGGCATTCCAAAGTCTTGGTATTGTTTATGGAGATTTAGGCACATCACCCTTGTATGTTTTCTACAACATATTCCCTGATGGAATCAAGGATCCAGAGGATGTGGTCGGTGCACTGTCGTTCATTATCTACTCTCTTGCTCTAATTCCTTTGGTGAAATATCTCTTTATTGTCTCTAGAGCCACTGACAATGGTCAAGGTGAGGCCCGCTTTTCCCCATGCTTGGGCTTCCATGAACTGAACCAGTCTCTCCGGTGCTCATTGAAGTTATAACTAATACTTTGAGCTTACTCTTTTTGTTGATCTTGTTTGGTGGGTTGTAGGTGGAACTTTTGCTCTTTATTCACTGCTTTGTAGACATGCTAAAATAAGGACTATATCCAACCAAGATCACACGGATGAGCGGCTGAGAACATATAGTACCTCTACTGTCCATGAAAAATCGTTTGCGGCAAAGACCAAGAGATGGCTGGAGAGTCATTCTTATACTAAGAACGGACTCCTTGTTCTTGTTATTGTTGGCTCATCCATGTTAATTGGGGACGGTGTTATTATACCTTGCATTTCAGGTTTATACTCTTAAATGTTGTTCATAGATATCCTCCTTTTTTTTAATGTTCATAGATATCCTACTCAAATACGGATTTAGCTTGTATAATTAGAGGCAAAACTTCTATTGTTATTTTTGCAGTTGTGTCGGCTCTCAACGGGATCAAGCTAAGTCATCCTCAGATGAGTCAGGGTATCCTTCTTACTTATCAAGCTACTCCTTGCCTATTGCCATCCACTTTTAAGAATTTACCTAATATAAAGTCTTGGGTTTTGTTTCCTACCCTACAGAAGTTGCAATGGGAGTCGCGGTTGTCATATTCATAGCTTTGTTCTGGTTGCAACGCTTTGGGACGGAGAAAATCAGCTGGTTGTTTGCTCCAATTATACTGATTTGGTTTATCTCAATTGGAGGAATTGGCATATTCAACATTCTGAAGTACGGTAGCCGAGCTCTCAAAGCCTTTTCACCTGTATATATGTATCGGGCTTTTAATGGGAACCACAAGGATGCTTGGCTATCTCTTGGAGGTGTCATGCTCAGTATAGCGGGTAAAGACCATTTGTGTTAAAAATAGAACTGACTAGTAGTCGGTTTTATTCCATTGAGTTGCTCCGAGATCTCTGCTCATCTAATGTCCGAGTCATGAACCACATTTGCAGGATCAGAAGCTCTATTTGCTGATATCTCCAATTTCTCGGTTGCAGCAATCCAAATCGCCTTCTTTCTGGTCGTATTGCCTTGTCTTATTTTATCCTATTCGGGCCAGGCAGCCTATCTTATGGAACACTCAGATCGTGTGAATGATGCATTTTATAGCTCAATTCCAGGTTTGTCCTAGCTGTTATATACCAACTATGCATCTTTAGTGGTTACCTTGATGGAACCAACCAGAAGCATCTGCTAGTCATAGTATGTTAGTTGCTAGTAGTAAATGCTTAGCGGTTACTGTATTTGGCACGCAAGCTTTTTCATGGATTCAGTGTAGTTATTGTTTTTCCCTTGTCATTTACGATGATGTTCTAGATAACCTATACTGGGCTATGATGGTTGTTGCAACTGCTGCTGCTATTGTTGCTTGCCAGACCACCATATCAGCAACCTTCTCATTGGTCAAGCAAGCTTTAGCCCTGGATTGCTTTCCAAGAGTTAAAATTGTGCACACATCGAAGAAGTCAAGTACGGAAATCTACATACCAGAGGTCAACTGGATCCTCATGGTCCTCTGCATTGCCGTGACAGTTGGTTTCAAGAACCAGATCCACATTGGCAATGCATCAGGTAGAAACAAACATATGCTGTACGAACTCTCCGATTCTCTTATCCTTGCTTTCTATCCACATTGTTTTCTGAACCCCCTCAAAATGTCTCTTTTTTTTAACAGGCACTGCAGTAGTGGTAGTCACCCTAGTCACCACATTTCTGGTAACCCTGATCATGATACTAGTGTGGAGATGCCATTGGGTATTTGTTCTCATCTTTGCTGCTTTCTTCTTCCTCATAGAAGGAACTTACTTCTCCTCCATAATCCTCAAATTCAATGAAGGTGGTTGGGTTCCCCTAGCCATTGCAGCATGCTGTTTCATTACAATGTACGGGTGGCACTATGGGAGACAAAAATGCTACGAGTTCGAGATGCATGGTAAAGTCTCGATGGCATGGCTAGTCGGGTTGGGACCCAGCCTGGGACTTGTTCGAGTCCCAGGCATAGGTCTTGTGTACACGAAGCTCGTGAGTGGTGTCCCACATATCTTCTCACACTTCATCACCAACTTGCCAGCTATCCACTCCATCGTCATCTTCATCTGCATCAAGTACCTCCCAGTCTGCACAGTCCCACAAGAGGAGAGATTCCTTGTCAGGAGAATCGGGCCCAAGGACTTCCACATGTTCCGCTGCGTGGCAAGATATGGTTACAAGGACCTCCACAAGAAAGACGACGACTTCGAGAGCAGGCTTTTCGAGAGCATCTATAGACACGTGAGGCTTGATTCGTTAATGGACATGGACTGCTACTCGGATATAGATGACGAATTCAGCTTGGATGAAAATGATGCTGGTGATGAGGACGTAGTGGGGCCGGTTTCAGTTGGAACAGTACCAGCATCTCCTGGGAGGAGCAGGAACCTGGAAGCTGAGCAGGAGTTGGAGCTGCTGAGGAGTTGCAGGGATGCAGGGGTGGTGCACATACTAGGGAATACGTTGGTGGCTGCGAGGGAGGATTCTCATTGGTGTAAGAGAATAGCCATTGATTATGTGTATGCTTTGCTTAGGAAACTCTCCAGGGAGAACAGTGTGTTGTTTAATATCCCCAGAGAGAGCTCGTTGAACGTTGGACAGGTAATTACTGTCTAGTTTCGGGTTCATTAATGGACACTGGACTTGCTAAATTGTTCACATTACATGGTACTGAAATTTGGGCAGGAGCAGGATCTTCAGTTCTCTAGGATGCAACAACTCAAATCTGGGTACTTGTCTTATCTCTCGTTGTGATGCATCAGTGCATTCATTGTACTCGGAGATACTTACGGAGCCTCAAAACTGGCTTCTGACGCTCATACTTTGTCGCTTGCGTTTCGTGTTTACAGGTGGCCAGTTTTCTCGTGAGTGAATCTTTTCACCGATTTGTTTTGGTTATAGAATGATAGAATCAGTTAAGGAATATACTTATTTGGGGTCGAGTTTGATTATTTTAGTGGTGAATATCTGTGAAATGACCTCCGAATGCATTGTTTGAATAGTTGAGTTGTATTTGATTGAATTTCATACGAACTTGCGACTTGTCCATGTTCTGCGGTAGGTCTTACAATAGGCCAACATGATTCTGTAGGGATGCGTATGCTATACTATTGGGTGTATAACTTCACAATGTCATTATGTTCAATGGATTTTCCTCAAAATAAAAAGTTGTATGGTATATAATTTTCAATCTTGCTCGATCAAATTTCAGCCAGTAATGATCATTACAAGGAATTATAGGTAAAATGCATGAATTAGTTGTAATTATATTTTCCATTTGGCAGAAAACAGGGCACTTAAATTGCACCACAATCTTTATTCATTAAACTAAGCTAGGGGTTGAAATCCCTATCAAATCAAAGTACAACCAATAACCAAATATGCTACCATATATGGTGCCAATCGGGGTACTTGGATCATATCCGAATAAGGGTTGCTTGCTCTGTGGTGTTATACATTTTCTTTCTCAATAACTAGTATCTCTTTCCTGAGACTTCTCCTGGATCGTGCTCGATGTTTATTGTTACTCCTTCAGACGTATAAGGGTTTAAGTGGCAAACGTGTGAACATAGCCTATCAGTTGTGATGTTTAGTCGTAATATTTTAACGCAGGGTGAAAAGATATGACTTTTCAACTAGGGAGGGGTGAATAGGAGAGAAGGATCACTACCTTGGTCTTCCTTCTACTATGACAAGTTTATAAAAACTTTCCTTCCAATTCGTTGAGAAAAATATACTTAAAAGACTCTTAACGTAGGAAAGAACGTCTGAAGTCCAGGACGACTAAGGATACTAGAATTCATACCTAAGTCTCAGCGTCCAACCTTCCAGTTCATGTGATGTCTTGCTTAGTTGCTTTAACCTTCCGATTGAGTCATGCTAAAGCCTGAACAACCATACGACAAGATTTTAAAAGGGAACCTTGGAATGCTTTTGGGGGAGATTGTACATCAAATTCACAAGGGTTGCACTCTCCCACTAGGGTTCTGCCACACTCTATTAGTCTCTTTCTAGGAGGACTCCCCTTCAAAATTCACAACTTGAAAATTTATTCTCGATACAACTTCAATCTCATGGGTGTGAGATTGTGAAATATGCTTGTGAGATGAGAACTCAATCGTTTGACTTAGCAAACCTTGAGAGGATTTATGTGTGTGTGGGGGGGAAGGGGAGAGGGGGGATACATCAATCAAGCTTCAAAATCGTCTAGAATAAGGAGACCCTAAGAGAGTCAACAGGTGCAAGAGCTCGCTGGTTTGGAGGCTCAGGTTTGACAGAAGGCACTCAATTATCAAATGAAGTTACAATGTCTTGTCCATTACCAACTTGTCATCGCAAGCCTAGTAGAAGAAAATCCCTCTCGAACAGGAGACTTTGCCATCCGTGTGAGTGGTTTGATTTTGGGTGCCATCCAATAATGAACCCTTTATAAAGTAACTTCCCTTGTAATTTTGGGTTAGCATGGATTCTGGGTGCTCCAATATTCTTCAACATTGCTTAGCTAACAAAACTTGGTTGAAAGCCCCGAAATTCTGAAATCTTGTCCTCCATGAAATTTGCTTTGGGTAATACTTTTCCAAGAGACCTAGTGTATCCTTACCAAAATCTCGCCACATGATTGTTCAAATGTCTGCAGGTCTTCTTTGGGAATTTAAAGCAAGACATTGCATGGATCGGGATATTAGTGGTTGATATACATATGAGGTTATCCTTAACACCCCTAGAGAGGGTCTATTGCTTCCAACCTTGAAGCCACTTAACGAGTCTCTCCTCAATGAAATGAAAATGATCTTTCTTTGACTTAGAGATGGCCGGTGGACGGACTAGACAAAATCTTAAACACCAAGAGCCCCAAGTCTCAACACCTAATTAAGGATCCAAACTATGAACCATTGATGGGGATGTTTTGACCGAACAAGATAGTAGACTTATCTAGATTCACTCTTTGTCCACTTAATCTTCATACATGTGAAGAAGAGAGAGGAGAGTGAATTGGTAGTTTACGTTGAATAAAAGTGTACTTAAATAGCCCAATCGATGTTTATTGTTTGGGAAATTACATTAGTGATGAATTGTCATTGGCCCTAGGAATCTCCACACTATCAACTTTAGGATTACAAATCAATTCATTCTTCAATTGCATCTAATCCCAACTCTAAGGGAATTCACCGTAAGAAACTTCTCTTCTCTTGTGATTTCCCCCTAATTTAATTTTGTTTATTTCTTCCTTTAGCTTAGTTTAGTTTATGTTCAAAACCACTTTAGTTGAATAGGTAGTAATTCGGTGTTGAGTAATAATACACCTAGATTCTAAGGAATACGATATTGTGCTTCTGCGCATGAGTTTAGCTTTGGTCCTTTGTTTTTGCTAAACAAAGTAGTTAGTAGATATTATGATCCGTATGTGGTTGGTGGAAAACCGATTTTGCACCATACCGAACAATCATACTTTAAACTCTTCATATAGTGTAATTTTTTTTTTATGTTGATTGATAATCTTGAAGGTATTGTTTGAACAAGTATGGGCGCCTACTTTGCCTGTCTTTCTTTTGCTGTGGCTGGAAGTGTTCATTTGCTTCTAATCTTGTTTTCTTTTTCGCCTCTTGTAAGGACTTTTTTTTTATTAACTTATTTAACCATTATAAAAAAAAGTATGGGTTTGAATCGGGATGTCCCATATTTAAATATCTAAAGTAGCACCTAACTAAAAAAAAACTTATATCGTCCTTATAAAAAAAAGTAAGGAGACATTAATAAATACTAGAATCAATACCAGCGGCTACGCCGCAGAGAGTATTTCGTTATATTCATGCAAGCTAACCAAAGTCGGATTCGAATTTTACAATTAATAGTTAACCGAGAACAATAAAATGAAGGAATAGAATAGTTGCAGATTTGGTTTTAGGTAATCTTTGGTGTTTGGTGTAGCTGCACACCAAATTGCAAACCAAAAACCTCATATAATCGCAAAATTAAACTACCCCAAAGCCCAATGGCCTACCCCATTAGGTAAGCTAAACCAAAAAGAATGACAAATAGGTTAATTGGTTGAACACAGTTAACCACAACATAACCAAAAATCATACTATTCGGTTCTCAAGTAACCATAACAACAACAATTACAATTGCTAAAATGACAAAAATTCGATTTTGGATAACCAACCAATTCGGTTTCATTAACATCTAAACTGAACCGAGGTTTAACCCTATTTGGTTAATGTATAGATATGTTTCGTATCAATCCAATTCGACCCGTGCATAACCCGAAACACATGGATTTATGTGTCTTATAATTAGATTTGGGTCGTGCATCACTTGAGCTGAGGCATATAAGCTGCATGGTTGAGAGGGTTCTAAACCAACTACCCCAATTCATGTAGACCCCTAATAATAGTTCATTTTATTGTACTCATTTCCTTAAAACTAACGAAAGGAAAGAAAAACAATGAAGTACATAATAGATGTCAAACAATATAAAACCAATTAAAAATTGATAAAAAATTGTTCTATATTTACATGACATAAGTGTAAGAAAAAATCATCATGCTTTATTAGAATCTTGTTAGGTCCAAACAAACTGGGAACAAAAAACCCTTATTTGTTTGTTATCTAGCTGGCCTTTCTCGCTAAATGGGGAGAGAAGTAGCGGTTGATATCTCATATCTCTTTCGCCATCCATTATATTATTAACCATTTTTATAGTTGGTAATGATTTCCAACAATACTTAGTTGTTACGAGATCAGGCCATCATAGCATTTCGTAGGAGACTGGGCTTGCGTATCTTTATTATTTTATTATTACATTATTGGGCTTTTATTATTATATTGTCTTTATTATTGTTTTCCTTGTTCATATGGGATTGGGTTAATTGTTGGTAATATCCTTAGAGGTTTAGGAGTCATAATCTAGATAGGTAAATGTAGAGGCTTTGTGCATATAAATATGTACTTGTTTCGTTCGTTTAATGATAAGAAGATTGGAACCTAGTTAACTTTTGTACTTTATTTGCTATTTCATAGGTATTTCCTTTAGAGTTCTTTGCGTTTTATTCCTTTTACGATAAAACCCTAAAATCGCCACCCCCCTACGTCACATCAACGTAACAGTTGGTATCCAGAGCCCGGTTCTTGGGATGGCGGGTAAGCAACAACAAGCCACGAAATCCAGGGCATTAAGCGGCAACAACAGAGACGGGTCGGAACCCGACCATCCTCAGCCGCGACTACACACCATGGAGGAGCGGATAGGGAGCATGGAGGGTCAGTTCAATCCCTTGATCGGACGAGTCGAATCCCTAGACCAGAAGGTCACGGACGTCACCAAGCTGATGGCGGAAGGATTTGCGGTGGCGGAGGCACGGAATGAGCAGCGATTTGCGGCTCTGGAAGATCTAGTGCGAACCATCGCAACCCAGACAATCGCGGCAATGGATCGCCGGCTGGAGGCCTTGGACGCCAAATCGCGCATAACGGCAGCCCGACCGCAACCCCAATTGCGGCGACAACCCGCAAGCAAGCTCTAGCAACGGCCGCGGAGAAGTTGAAGGGCCCCATGATCGATGGGGACAACGATGGCAACAAACCTAAGCCGCTGAGCGAATTGGGGACACCAGTGGAAGGCAGAAGCGGAGCAAAAACTGGTGGTGGCATCGGGACCACAGGAACGGCGGCGCTCGGTCCAGGCTGGGGCAACCTCGCCATACAAGAGATCTCGATCGGAGGAACACAGGGAAGTTCGACTGGAGGAAATACACCGGTGAAGCTTCCAGGGAACGCAGGGATGATGAGTGGAGGCGCTGGTGCGAACCAGATGGGGTGGGCTGGCCAAACGGATGGCGGAACGGGTCTAGTCGGACCGATGGGGAGTGGACCGGGCTGGAGAGGAATAAATGGGTGGGCTTGGCCCAATTACTATGGGCCGCCAGGGTTCACCCCAAGTGGGAATGTCGGCCAATGCAAGGCTGGAGCATCAACTGTGGGGCCGCTTCCAAGCATGAGTTGGCCAGAAACGGGCTTCAGCCCAAGTCAGGGGAAACTGGGAAGCAGGACAAGTGGAGCAGACGCCGCGGCCATCTGGGCCGGGGCTGTGGATGCAAGGAACAACCCAACAGGAGTGGGCCTCAATAGGAGCCAATTGCCGAATGGAGGACTGGGCCTCACCCCCAACTGGGTTGGGACGAGCGGGGGCGGAGTTCAGGGAGAAAGAAGCAACATGCCGGGGGAGAACGGGCTAGCAGGTGACGGAGTGGGCTGGGTTCCGCAACCGGGCCTGATGGCCGGGCTGCCGACTTGGCCGACAGGCATGGGCCTCGGCTTCAACTGGGAGCAAGTGTCAAGTGGAGGAGTTGAGCCCACGGCCGGCTGGGCTGGAACCACGCACAGAGCTCACGAGCAAGCGAGGAGTGGGCCGACCGCGGGCGGGGTTGGGGGAAACTGGCAGACGCTAGTCAGACCACCAACTAGGACGCCGATTGGTCCGCTTAATGGGCCATCATCTGGGGCACCTGGGCCATGGGGAACTGCGCAGGAAGTTGGAGAGGTGAGTATAAGACCGAGCGGCAGAAAGGATGAAAAGGCAGGGTGGTTCAAACCTAAACTGGCCCAACTCAAATTTCCCAAATACAAGGGCAATGAGGATCCATTTGGTTGGTTCACAAGGGTGGAACAATTTTTTCGATTCCAGGAAACCCTAGAGGAGCACAAGGTGGCTCTCGCGCAATACTACATGGAGGGAGATGCGAATCAGTGGTGGCAGTGGTTGGAACGCACGTACCTCACATCGGGGCTACCAATCATGTGGCGCGATTCGGAGAAGAGCTATGGGCTTGATTTGGCCCAGAAGAAGGAGCATCTAGCCACGAGGCTCTCGCCAAAATTAAGCAGACTGGGTCGTTAAGCGACTATTTATTGGCATTTGAAAAGCTGGGCAATCGCTGTTTTGGGTGGACCGAAGAAGCCTTGGTGGGATCATTCATTGGAGGACTTAAACCAGAGATATCTTATGCGATTTGATAACATTGTATTTTCACATGTTTTCACTCTTGTTTCCTGACCATTTTAGCTCGAATTTGTTGTTCCTTGGCCTATTTTACGCTAGGTTGTGTTGTTTTGTCGTATTTCAGGTCTTAGCAAGTAAAGGGGTGCATAGGCACAAGTTTTGGGTCATTTGGAGGTTAGTTGGCGATTCAAGATGCAAATTACGGGCATCCCCTGCCCAATTACGGGCATCCCCTGCCCAATTACGGGCGTAATTACTTCTGTTATGGCCGTAAATGCAATGCCGAGCCAAATCCCTGATAATTCCTATCGCAGAGCAAATTACGGGCAAGAGTAAAAGCAACTACGGTCGTAATTACACAAATACTGGCAGTAATTGTGTAATTACGACCGTAATTCCTCTCATCATTGTTAAGTGAAACACGCGTTTTGGGCGAATTACGGGGAGACCATGATTACGACCGTAATTCAGCCTGTATTTCGCCCAGAATCGGGTTTTTGAGGCAGATTCGAGCCAAAGGAGAGGGAATCGACTTTTTGGAGCAAAAACAAAGTTTTAGAGAGAGAAAGTGTGAAGAACAAACCCTAGGAGCTATTTGGAGTGGATTTCTCACCATTGAAGCCCAGATTGCATTCCCTGGAGTGAAGATCATCATCCCAGAGCAGATTATCCTCATCTTTATGAGTATGGCTACTCTGATTTCTGTTTTCCTCTCTCTCTATATGGAGTAGAACTTTCTCTCACTTGGGTATGAAGAACCCTAGTTCCATGTGTTAGGGATCTTGATTGTAATGACTTGGGATTGTTATACTGATTGATTTTAATCGATTGATGCATGATTTATTGAGTCAATTGAAGTCTGATAATCTTTTCTTGATTTCTGCTGCAACCTGAGATAGATAGAATCTGATTAGGTTGTTAGAGCTTCATCAATCGGTAGTGGTAGATTGATTATACGAGAGTTAATCGATTTACTACTTTGTACTGGAATTCAATTCCAGTAGTGGAGTTCTGCGTTCATAGCCTCAGCTTTCTAACCCGATGAAGACTAGTCGTCTGCCGGGTAGTTGGACTGAGAGGGCTTGGTCAGCTTAAGAGATTCCAAGCTACTATCGGATCTTTCGCAGTTTAATCAACAGTTAATCAACCCCGGGGTAATTGAATTAACTAAGGAGCTAGGGGGACTCATCCCCGAGTGACTCTCCCCTTGCTTTATAAAACCGAACCATTTCCTGTTTTCTTACTGCTTTTAGTTAAAATCACAATCACTCGACTTAGTTAGCTAGATAATAGATATTCACGGAGTAGGCAGTAGATCTAGACCCCGGGTTGACAATTAGAGCTTGCCTGTTACTGCATTTCCGGACTGCGATTACACTTGGTCGCAGTTTGGTGTTGTATTTTAGTGTGTCACGTTTTTGGCACCGTTGTCGGGGACCCTCTAGGTTATTGGGGAAACGTGAAAGTTTGTTACTCTAGTTTTTTTCTTTACTGCATTTTCTCTCTTCCACCTGTGTGCCTTCACGGGTTGCTTTTGCTGATTGTGTGCAGGTAGTGCATGACCCGTAGCCAGTCGGGAGATTTACTACCATTAGACCAAGAGCTTGAACGGACCTGTAGGAACTTCAAGCGGGCTCTAAAGGCGCGACTGGCTGCGGAGTAGGCCTTAGCATAGCTGCAAATCACCGAGGAGGAAGAAATGGGTGACCCACAGGACAATGATGTGGTCCTTCCCGAGGAGCTAACCATGGGGTATTACTGGACCGCTAGAGCCGCGGACATGAGGTCGCCCATTCAGCACCCTCATGTTCCAGCGAATAACTTTGAGGTGAGCACCTCTATCATCACCATGCTGCGTGGTTTGGTGGTATTCCGTGGCAAGGAGGGGGAGTGCCCCCGATCACACCTGGGGCGATTCCACGAGCTCATCGATGGGATCAAGATAAATGGGGTCCCAGCCGATGCAATCCAGCTAAGGTACTTCCCATTTACTCTGGAGGGGCAGGCCAAGGAGTGGCTAGACACTCGACCTCCAGGCTCGATCACCACGTTCGCCAACCTGGCGGACAAGTTCCTCATTTGCTACCATCCCCCGCCCAAGACGGTGGACCTGCAGAAGCAAATTACCCACTTTGCTCAGGATGAAGATGAAACCATCTGGGATGCTTGGGAAAGATACACCAATCTTATCCTCAAGTGTCCCAACCATGGTTTTACCGACGCCTTCAAGGTGGACACCTTCTACCATGCCCTCTTCCCGAAAGACAAGCAGCTGATTGACTCGTTTTGTGGCAAGAATATGCTCACCAAGACACCGCCACAGCTGAATCAACTTTTGAAGAGATGGCAGAGCAGGGCTATGATTGGGGAACTGCGAGGAGATGGAGACGAGCACCAGGGCGGGGTGTGCATGCTGTAGCCACCCAGTCATCTGATTTGGTGTAGGTGATATCGAAACTTTCAGCCATTGATCGCTCTGGGATGATTTCAGGTACAGGCCAGCAGCAGGCGATGCACTGCCAGTGGTGTGAGAGCTCCCATCACACCGTGGAGGACTGTCAGGCAATGAGGGATTCGCCTACCCCCCAGGAGCAGGTGGACTTCATCGGCAATGCCAGGCGTTTCGACCCCTACAGCAACACTTACAACGAGGGGTGGCGCCAGCATCCCAACTTCTCCTGGGTTGGGGCCAATTCTAGACCACCAGTCCCCCAGGGACCACCATGCTTCCAGAGGCCTCCTTACCATCCCAGACAAGGGCAATTTCAGCAGCCGCAGCAGCCTCTCTACCCGCCCAGATAGGGGCCAGTTCCACCTCAGTCACAGGTGCGGCCATTTCATTAGTCAGGGGCAGCCCCAGTACAGAGTGATCCGATGGCCGAATTGCGAGATCTGGTGGGTTCTCTGGCCACCTCCAGTGCAAACAAGTTCAATAATATCGAGCAGTTCATGGAGAAGGCTTCAGATACATTCTTGGAGCTAGAAGCTAACCAGAGAAACACGCAGGTTGTGCTGCGGGACATCCAGACCCAACTTGGGAGTGTGGCCTAGGCTGTAGCCCAGAGGACTCCTGGTACTCTACCTGGAATAACCATCCCTCATTCGCAGGACCCAAATGAGCACTACAAAGCCATCACTACCAGGAGTGGCAAGATGACTGCTGATCCACCTGTTCGGGCACAAGAGAGAGAGAGAGACCCCTGCTTCAGCACTTCTAGCTAATGAGGAGGAAATGGAGAAGGAGGTTGAGGTGCCTGCTCCTAAACCGCAACCTGTGGTGAAGGAGTATGTACTGCAGCTTCCCTTTCCTACTCGGTTGCACAAAGACTGACTGGAGACTGAGTTTGCCAAGTTCATGGCAATGCTGAAGCAGGTAAACATAAGCATGCCCTTCGTGGAGGCATTATCGAAGATGCCCAAGTATGCCAAGTTCATGAAGGATCTCATCACCAACAAGAGGAAGCTTGGGGAGCTGTCAACGGTGATGATCAACGAGGAGTGTTCTGCCATCCTAACAACAAACTA